ACACACACACACACACACACACGTCAGCCCGCCACCACCCTGCACACAGTAGTTTTCCACCAACACGCCTCACCTTTCTGCAGTTTGAGCAGGTGGCCGATGAGAGGAGGAAGAGTCTGGTTAGTGAAAATTAAACCATGAAGAAGACAAACATCAACATGGAAACAGTCACACAGTGGCTACGTTAGCTCTGCTGCTACAGAAGTTAGCATAACACCACAAACTTCTGGGGTTTATCAGCTTCTCAGAGTCACATTCAACTCCCTGAATCAAAACTTTCTGGTATTAGAAACAATTTAAGGTTTATTTCTACCAGATTTGCAAAACAGAAAACTAGCAGCTAATATACCCCAATATGTCCTTACGAGCTAGCTAACTGCAACAAAGCTGCTAATATATTCTCATATTAGTAACTAGTAACTAGCTAGTTAGCTAGGCCATATTAGCAGCTAGTTAGCAGTAGCCTGAACAGCATCAAGTCACAGAACACAATGAAGGTGTGTGACTTTCTTTTTTACCTGACAGGCATGTCAGAGCAGAATTTTTTTTAAATAGAATAAACCAGATCTAAGACCTAATGTATTTAAGGCCAACTTAAATTTATTTATTTATTTTTTTACCTTTTAAGTCCTTGATTTTAAATACATAAATTGAAGACTTTAAGGATGTGTGTGGATATCCTGTTTTGAAGTCAGTTTGTTTTTTATTTGGGGAAGGACCTGGTTAATGAGGGCAGAATACAAATGTACACCACACTTTTCAGATTTCTGGTTACAAATCATTTCCTGATGGTCTGTTACTGATGAAATACCATGAAGTTTGTGGCGGTAATGTGATTAAAAGGTAAAAGCGTTTCTGTAGCAACAGATGCATTAGTAGATAACAGAGACGAAGGTTTAGTGGAAAACAAAAAGTTAAAAACAGGATAATTCACAGAACAAGAAGGAAAGACTGAAATAAAATAAAGATCCAAGATGTCAGGAGTTTCATGAATAAATGTAGAAACTAAATAGAAGAAACTTTATGTTCTGTTTCTATCAGGTTGAGAACTAAAAACAATCCTCAAATTTTAGCTAAAGCCTGATTTACAAACTTTAGCTCTTTATGTTCACTTAATCCTCGAATAAATGAAATTAGCATCAGTGAATGAAACAAACATGCAGCTGGAGGTAACAGAAGGTTTTAGGTCTTTAATTAAAAGACTTTATTGTTCATCATTTGGACAGACATACAGACATGACCCTAACTACCACTGCATGTAGTTTATTATTAAATATTATTGCTCTATATGAAGTTTAACTGGCGTCTTTCTCTTGTCTGGCTTCAGTTTTATGGTGAATACACTCTGGTGTCTGGCTGATGTGCTGAACACTGTGTTGGTGTTCACCTGTAGTGGCTGATTTTGTGCAGGGGGGGCTCTCTTCTTCATGTTCATCATCTCTCTGATCTGAACCAGCGCGAAGGCGATGGTGACCCAGGGGGCGCCGGAGAGCACCCAGGCCGGCCTGGTCACGTCCTCCTGGTCCTCCTGGTGTTTGGTTTTCCTGACGGGCGCCGTGGCGACCGGCCGAGGCGCCACCGGGCTGCCGGGGGCGCTCTGGCTCTGCACCAGGTCGATGGTGGCGATGGGGACCGGGCTGGAGGGAACCGGGATGTTCTCTGCCAGAATCCTGTCCTCTGAAGAAAAAAAAACAAAAACAGCATGTTTAGAGTTATGCTGTTAAAATATTAACAGAAAAAACATCTTAAAATCGCCTCCGATTCACTTAAAATCAGTTTTCTGCAAACACGGTTTGTAGAAAGTAAACATTTTTTTACAAAAGGATGCTTTGTCCTTTAACCTTTCCAAACATGTTTGCTGTACTTTCCTTTTGCCTGCATCATGTTTGTTATATTTTACAGTTTCTACATTTTCTCACAGTAAAATTCAAACACATTTCAAGCATTTTCAAGGTAAGTTTTCAAACTTTTCCAGCACCACACTATAAAAAACAAAAAATAAACCCAATGAAGAGTTTCAATTCACCATTATGTGACCTCATTTATTACTATTCTTAATATTTTGTGGTAATATTCTATTATTCTGTATATTCTGGTTTGAAAAATGTACAAAAAAAATCTTTTCTCTTTCCATATTTTCTGTCATTTATCAAATACATATAATTTTGGTGATTCTAACTGACCAAAAATAAGAAAAGTTTCATCTGATTTAACTTCAGACAGTAATAAAAATGTGTTGTTTTGTTATATTTAAGTATCTCTAAATGTTTTCCAAATGTAAGTTATTAATCAAACGTTAGATTTCACTTTATTACCAATCTGTGCAGTTTGAATTTCTACTTGAAATTGAAGCGTTTTCAAGGATTTCAACCACCTGTACAAACAATGACTTTTTGTTTAAATGTGTCATTTCTTCTCTCACCTTTTCCTTCGATCTCTCCAGTCAGACACTGGATGAAGGAGAAGACGAGGAGGATGACCAGGGAGGCCATGCCGATTCCTCTGAACGTGGCCGCGGCGCCTGCAGGAAGCAAATCAACAGTTAAATCCATCACATCTCTGATCGGTTACTTCCACGCGGTCAGAGTCTCTTACCAAAGTAGCTGACAAACACGCCGCCCACCATGGCGCCGCAGCCCCGGCCCAGGCCCAGATGGAGGCCCTGCAGGATCCCCTGAGCCGACGTCCTGAGCGCTGGGGGGACGGCGGCGCTCAGGAAGGAGATGCAGGCGGCCCAGACCGAGGCGTGGGTCACTCCTGGAAACACAGCAGACGGACCGGACGGTCACTAAACGGGTTCAAGGACCAGTACTGATCACACCAGAACGGGCCAAACGTTTAGGCACGGAGGCCAGAAACAGCAAGTCAAGAATTCACAAACTTTTTAGCATAATTGCATAAACTCTTTTATGTTTTCATAGTGGTCAGATAAGCTATATATATAAATTATTGTAGATTTAAAACATTAAATGGTTTTGCAGGATTAAAAACAACAACAAACAAAATTCAACATTTTTCTGGTTGATTATATTTTATCTTCTAATTGATTATACATGAATAGTTTGATTAACAAAGCCTGCATTTTCAGTAATCATCACTTTATGTTCCTGGTGCTTTTCCTAAGAAATTAAATCAAATTAAAAGTAAAAACCTGGATGGAAACTTTGTGTTGCACTTTCCATTTTAAGATTTCAAATTCTCTGAGTGTTTCCAAAGGCAGTGAAAATTGCACCTGACATCGTTTTAAATCTGCATCTGCTGCCTGAACTGACAATCTAAATTTAGGATATTCTTGAATTGTGATGAAGGGCCATACAATATACACTGCTCAAAAAAATAAAGGGAACACTCAAATAACACATCCTAGATCTGAATGAATGAAATATTCTCATTGTACAAAGTTGAATGTGCTGACAACAAAATCACACAAAAATCATCAATGGAAATCAAATTTATTAACCAATGGAGGCCTGGATTTGGAGCCACACACAAAATTAAAGTGAAATGTTCCCTTTATTTTTTTGAGCAGTATAGTTTCAAGGGCCACAAATGAACGGTGGGCCACACTTTGAACACCCCTGGTTAAACTTTTCAGTTACTCGTGAGCGCCACTTCCTGTTTACAGTTAGAACGTGCTGCTTCATGTCACCACAAAGAGACGGCGGCCCTTTAAGAGCAGGTTGCTCACGTGAACGCCACCCAGTCGCTTCCTGTGGCGTCCCGCAGGGAACCGCTTTCAGCTCCCTTCTATGCGTCTATCAACTTCAAACTTTAAAGCTGACCTACTCTGTTTCCTTGAACAGGTTAGGACAGAAAATATGTTCATTACATTTTTTTAGCACAAAATCATTCTTAGATAATCAGATTTTAGCTGTTTTAGGGTTCTGTCTCTTTAAACGTAAATGAGCTGCGCTGGCCACGCTCCCAACTCTACGTTTACACTCACATGAAAATGGCTGCACAATTATAGAACTGTTCATCTTTGAAAAGCATTAGTAAAGCCTTCTGCACAACCAATAAGAATGCAACCAGTGGTTTCTGGATGGTAAGTCAACAAAACCCAAATAAAAGTATAAAAACATTCAAAAAGTTAATTTTGCAGCAGGTCCCCTTTAAAACTGGCCTCCTGTGTAAACTGATGTTGCCTCAGCGTCTGCTCCCATGAGGCGTGTCTGCTTTCTGCTTCCTGACAAGATCCTGCTTCGCTGCTGTTGATCAAGTCACCGCCTGATCAACGTTCTGTTGGGTAAACACAGGCTGATCCCGCCCCGACTCACCCTGCAGGACCTCCATGGGCAGGACGATCCAGGCATTCTCCAGGTAGGAGATGTACAGGTAGCGCGCTGTGTTGCAGGCCAGGCCGATGTACAGAACCCTGAGGGAGACAGACAGACAGACGGAGTGACTCACAGACTCGCTCACTGGTTCACACCCATCACATCCTGCAGCTCATGCTGGGATTATTTCACTGTTTGTTCATGGAGGTTTTATTGCAAACACACACACAGATGACAAGCGTCTTCATAAGCAGCAGCACATGACGCTTTCTATTTCAATCAAGACCTTCATGAACAAACCACAGTTCATACAAACATGCGGCTGTAAAACCAGGTAACATGGGACAGACGGCAAACAAGCGGATCTGATTCAGAGTCAACAGCTGACAGACACTCTGGATATGATCCCAGTGTTTGTTTTATAGCACCAATAAACTCTGATCTGGAGACCCACCGAGGTCAAGATGAGCTTTTCACTGACAGGAAAGTAAAAACATCAACAATTACAATTGCACTCTCAATCCGATTACACTGCAAAAACAAAACTTCCGATTGAGCTGTGAAAGTAAAAAAAAAAAAAAAAGTCTAGATAAGTGTAAACTTTTTGTAATTTTTCTGCAATTTACTCATAATCAGAAATTAAAAATGACTCAAACGGTTCATCTGAACACTGCAAAACATTACTGGTCTAGATTCTACTGCAAATACAACTTGTTTCAGCAAAAACATGATTTTTTAAATTACTCCTTAATAATAATAATAAAAAAGGTACCATTTCCTCTAGCAGATTATTTCACTATAACACTGAAATATAAATGATCTACCAGTTGAACTAGTATTTTTTTATATGCATTAAGGAATTGTTGACTTAAAACAAGCTCCCATATCTTCCAGAAAAGTTACTTGTCAGCTAGTTTTCATTTTTCAGCTGTACTAAGATATTTGCACTAGAAACAAGACCAAAAAAAAGAGGTAAAATTTGGTGCTTTTACAGTGAAATGCTAATTTTTCTCAGGAGTAGCTGCATGTTGAACGGATGAGCCTGGTTCTGTTTCATGTTTCACCCCACTGTCATCACATGCTAACTTCTTCTATAGAAATGTTTTATGAATATTTCACTTTGAACTGAAGCTGTGAAGTGAGGAGGAGTAGAAACGTGTTTCCTGCTCCTGACGTGACCTTTTCAGTCCGGCTCCATCGTTTCTGCTCATGGAGGCCAGAGGAGGTGCAGGGAGGAAACCGAGGTGAAGTTTCTGTTTCTAACTGCGTCCGGAAACTCTGCTGACAGCAGCTTTGCTTCATCTAACCGGCTCTGACTGAACCTCATGTTGGTTTCAGATTCGCACTCAGAGGAGCTGCTGAATCAGAAACACGCTTTTGAAGTACAATCTCAGAAATCGTGTTTGGACAAACTTTGTTGTTGTGGTAACGTCTACAGGCGGTACTGAAACTGCAGCTGGGTCCTAAGGTGAACTTTCACAAATACAATCTAACAACTGCTGCCGACAAACTGAACACTAGGAATGAAACGATTAATCAGATTAATTGTGATTAATCGACTACTAATACAATCGTCAACTAATTTTGTAATCGATTAATTGTTACTGGATTATTTGCTGAGATACTCAGTAAATAATCATAACAATAAAGCCTAAACATACATATTTACATTTAAGATAAAAAAAAAAAAACGTAGTGGCATAAGTTTAATTTCTGTAAAAAAAAAACAAAAAAAACCTAAATGTTTTTCCCATTCAATTACTAATCAATTATTGCAAAAAATAATCTACAAATGATCAAGCTAACACTAAAGGAAAGCCATGTTATTGCATTTTAGGCAATAAAATGTTTATTTTCTCACTAAAAAAAGGATTTGCTTTTTTTTAATACTGTATAAAAGACGATTTCACTTGTAAAATCTGTAGAAAGTGTCTATTTTTTTATCTTATTAATTGATTTATCATCAGAATAATTGATTACTAAAATAAACAAACATTAAAATCAGAACTATACAGGAGAAATGTGACATTAATTACACAGAAATGTACAGCTTGAAAACAAACAGAGAGCAGGTCATGTGCTGCTGCTGCTTCCTTCAGTTATTGATTAACCTGAGTCTCTTCAGCAGAGCTTCTGGGTTTTATTAGGTTACTTCCTCATCATTTCAACGTCTTATTATAAACCCGGTCCAGAGAGCAGAGCAGAACCACGGCCCGGTTCTGAGAGCTGCAGTCTGAAATCCAACCCGTCGCTCTCAGATGTCCCTGCTGGACGGAAAGCCGGAGCATCAATGGCAGCTTTGTCTCTGCGTTCGGCCACAGAACAAAACCTCGTTCTGATGCTGCTGGAGCCGCGCCGCCGCCGCCAACGGCTCACTCACTGTGGGGAATCTCTCCACATCAGGACTGAATATCAGGCAGTCCTGATTACCACCAACCAGAACATAACATGCTTTTCCAGAAGCAGCAGGTAAACTAACCTGAAGAAAAATCTAAAAATCATCCAGTGTTTGGAGAACTGGTCTGTGAAATTCAACCAGCCAACAATCAGCTGCATCGTTTTCCTCCAGATCCTCCAGCATAAATTACCTTTTTCTTCCCAAAAAAAACAAAACAAAAAACTCACTTTAAATAAAAGTAAATATTTTGCTTTGCTTTCTTCATCCACTCAAATTTAAGACTGTCCAGATGGGTGGTGATAAATATGAACCTGGAGAAGTTAAAACAGTCACTTTTGGGTAGAACAGATTTACAAAGTTTGTTTTCATCTTAAATACAAAATTTACATATTTTTGTACAGTTTTATCTTAATTACTGCTCTGTGTTTGTTGTTCTTTCAGCATTTAGTCTTTTGTTAAGTCTGTATGCTCCAGCTAACTATTAATCAGTTACCAAATTTGACTTAATTACGATTAATCATTTCAGGCCATCATCATTGTTGGGATTTTCGGTCATTAACAGAGGGATGTGATTCCAGACGGCGTTGATTTGACGACTAAAGTGTTGGATTTTCAGACTCTGTAGCATAAAAATCGTCAATCGGACACAGATTGAGTTAAAACTTAAAAGCTGACCATTTTTTACCTGACGTGACCAACAAGCTCAATGAACTTGTGGCTGGTGAAGTAAGCGCCGAGTTCGGAGATGTGGCTGAGGACGGAGCAGACCCCGAACAGCGTGGTGGTCCCCTCAAGGTCCTCCAGGTGCCAGTACAGGAAGCTGAAGACGAAGCCGTAGCCGAAGCCCATGAACCAGGCGACAAAGAGAACAGAGCTGTAGCGCACCGTGCACAGCAGCCTCAGCAGGTCGCCGTAGTGGAACTCCTGGGTGGCCTCGGACACCGCCGGAGTCTGGTCCGACGAGCCGGAGTCTGGGGAGGCCTGGCCACTCGCCGAGTCCTCCACCACCTCCGGCAGCTCCTGACGGTACTCCTCGCCCTTCTCAAAGTAGAACTGAGTTGCCACGACGAAGGCCACACCCATCAGCACGCCGAAGACGATGAAGGCGAGGCGGTAGTTGTGCAGGCGGTACTCCGGCAGGATGCAGCCGATGCCATCGATCAGGACGGTGATGTGCGTGTGGTCGATCCAGATGCCCACCGCCAGCATGGCCAGGCCCCAGCCCAGGGACCCCCACATCCTCTGCAGGCCGTACCGGTCGCGGGCCTTCCCCAGGTACTGCAGGGTGACGGTGTCCACGATGGTCACGGCGGGCGCGCTGAAGAACTCGCCCACAATGATGACGAGCAGGATCAGCAGGAAGATGTTCTCCACCTGGTCCTGGTTGTAGATGATCTCATAGTCCTTCTTGCTGGTTGTAGTCGGGGGGGTGGTGGTGGTCTGTAAGGTGGTGTTGGGTGCAACCTCAGTGGCGTTGATGGACGTCGAGTTGTCGATGCTTCGTTGTTGCCTGTAGGGAATACTGAAGGAACTGAGCAAGACTTCAGGAACCCTGGGGAAGTCCATGACGCTCCGCCGGCTTCTGGTGTGGTTGGTGGAGTTGCTCGGGTTGGTGACGTTCTCAGGAGGAACAGTGGTGGTCGGTGGGGGAACCGTCGCCATAGAAACACACTTCATCTCCGCTGGTTGGACAAACCCAATGCCACAGTTAAAGACCAACCAACACATGACGGAGAACAGCAGCACCACCTTCCCTTTCTTAAAGCGGTCCGCCACTACACCCCAGAAGGGGGCACTGCAGAACTCTATAAAGTACCGGATGCCAACAAGCAGGCCGCTCCGACTGGCCGACATGCCGAGCTGTTTGTAGTAGACCGCCAGCAGGGGGTGCAGTGAGCCATAGGCGGCGTAGAAGAAGAAGTAGAAGACTTTAGAAATGAGCAGGTGGCTGTTGATGCGGAGGCACATCCTCTCGCAGCAGTCCACCGGGTCAGGCTGAGGCGCCGGCAGCGGCTCGGACGGCGCCGGCGTGGACACGCCTTCCTGCTGCGCCATGGACAGGGTGTTAAACGGCTCTGCCAACACATACTTCCTCTTCTGATCCTCCTCATCGTCCGTCAGGATGGCAACCTTGTCGTCAGCTGGCATATCTGGAAGATAAGAAAATGAGGAGGAGAATGAGAAACGGCTGGACTTTTGGTATTTACAAACCAAATGATGAAGAGTTGGAGATCCAGCAAAAACTCAAGAAAACTAAAAGCCTTCTGGAGATCATCTGCTGTCTTCCATCTGTCTCTCGCTGATAAATCATTCATCAACATCAATATGAGCGCAGACATAAAACAATATGATTATAAATATAACCGTCTCTTGAGGATCATCAGAGTTTTAAATAGTGCTCACGTTCTTCATTCAGTCAAACATGAAGCCTGACCACAGCCTCCAGGCAGAACAGGTGAAAATCTGCAAAACTTGTGGAGCAGATTCTTTAAATATTTCTCGTTGAACATGGTCATAGTATTACTAACAGATTTAATGGATTCTCTTAGGGCAATGATTTGATTCTGATGTAATTTAGATGTTAAAAAACTAAAAATAAAAAGTTTTTCTGGTTCATAGATCAACTCAACAAGAAAATAAACATGAAACTAACTCCGTGTCAGTTTTCTGATCTTTGATCTGAATTTGGGCCTACAAAATTCAAATAGGTAGGATCCTTTGAAAGCCCTCGGACCAGATGTTCGAACCCATTGTGTTGTTCCGAGGACCGCCTGTCTGTCACTGATGGTCATATGCGGAAGTACCTGACATTTTATGTAAAACAACATTTATTTTCAACATGTTGCGATTCAAATCAATGAAAAAACTACGAATTTACGGTCAAATTCTCACAAAAGATCGGTTAGTAATTTATAAGGCGGTTAAACAGGAAGTGACTCTTAATGTCAAGTTTTCTCCTCTTATACGTCTAGTTTAAACATTTAAATTCGCACCCAATAACAAGTAAAGGACAGTCTCATGATTCCCTTACCTGCTCAGGTCACCGCTCCCATTAAACTGTGACTGCGCAGTATTTTCCTGAATTTCTCCGTTCTCCCTGGGACATTGTTTTCACACAAAAGCCGCTAAAATTAACACTAAAAATGAGTGCAAACTGTTTAAATTTACGGTGACGTGTCCATGTTTGCGTTCCGTAGAGAAATTACAGCGTTTCTCCGGTTCGGATCCCTTTTGTTGTGAGAACAACAGTGGCTCGTCAAACCGGAGAATCCACCTGTCCCGAAACAGACGTCAGCTACGAAGCTAGCCACTAGCACTGAGAATTTCCGGTAAAATCCCTTCAAAATAAAACTTACGATTATTTAAATTTGAAATAATCAACATTTAAAGCTGCATATTGCATGACTAATGCGTTAAAATAAGCTAAGACAATTATTATTAAATCTACTGCTCACAAATGAAGAATAAAAGTAATAATATTACACATAACCGCATTTAAATTAGCTACATCCGGTTGTCTCAATAACTCATTTCTGTTGCTTTAAATTTCGGACCGACACGCCTAAAACCGGCTATGCTGTCTCAATTAATGGGAAACTTCCATTAACCTTTGTATTTACGTCTGAAAGCATTCCTGTAACTAACCTTAGAGACAAATTACGTAAATATCTGAGCTTTTAGACTCCTGGATTCAATGGGAGAGAATATTTAATTATAGTAAGCAAAATAAACACAGACAGCTTCACAGAGTCACAATGAGACAAAACGGATTTTTATTCTCAGTATCTCCGAGAATACAAGCAATTTACACCGTAAATTAGTTTTACTGTGTAAGAAAAACACAAATTCAGTTTAACTTAATCTTAAAATCCAGTTCTTTTTCTAAATATTTCTTTACAGACAACAATCACCGAAATATTTAAGTTATTAAATCACTAAAAGTGAGTTTCTTAATAATACATGTTTGTAAGTGTGTGAACAGATCTATTTCAAGAAATTTTGCGTATATTTCACAACTTAATTTGTATTTAACTCCTACATAAGAACATGGTTTAGACTCCAAGCAAAGGTGTGGAAACAAGTCTGTGGCCATTCCTGATTTCTGTGAAAAGGAAATGTTCCTGGAGGGCGTAATAAACCAGCAGAAACCCGCAAACCACACCCCGCTGCTTAAAGCAAATGACCTCATGACGTCAGATGATCTCTAGTTGCAGTGAGTCCTCTTCACCAGCAGAGGGAACCAGAAACCACTCATACAACTTGGTAAGTTTTCACGGTGGAGCCACAAACTTGAATGCATTTTAGTGGATTTTTGGAAAACTGGAAGTCTGAATTGTGGAGTACTGAAATATTCACCACATTGCTACTTTGATACCATAAACATAATAATTGTTTTCAGAAGTCCAGAAATTAATGAACAGTGGAGAAACTGCCAGTTTGGAAACGATAAGTGACGAACTCCACAAATCTGGTCGAGAAGAAAATAATTGTTGAAATGCAAAAGACCATGTTTGTTCTGGTCAAAACTTTGTATGTGTGGAGAAAAACTAACACACATCACCCTGAAACCTGGTGGTGGCAGTATCATGCTGCGAGAAACTGGTTATGCTTGATGGGAAAATGGATGGAGCAAAATCCAGGACAAAATACTGTTGACCAGGCTCTTTAAAGGTAGAAGATTACAAATTGAATTCATTATTTTCTAGGATTTTATTTGTGAAAACAACTGAACATGTTAAAAACCAGACATATTTTTTTGTCAGAGTTGGTTTTTGGTGTATGAAGCATAAAGGCAGTTGCCCAGGGTGGCACTAGAGCAGGTCTGGGTGGGGGAGATGTTGCAGGCACCAGCTAAAAGAATAATAAACCTTTCTGTATGGGTGGGCATTTATGGTATTGTTTATTGTTTATCATTTATTGTTAAAAAGAATTCTTATCATGATAAGAATTTTGATTGTCATTGTCATGATAAATGCAATGTTAAATAAAAAAACTGACCATATCAGAAATTTTATTTTTGCTATTTTCCCCACTTTCTGTTCAACAGGAATATCAATAAATATGAGTCAATTCAAAAGTACGATTAATTGCAGTTACTGAGTGAATTCTAATTATATGAATCACACTTTTTAAGTAAGTTGCGTCCTGAATAAGCCTAATAAAATGAGAATGCTTTCAAGAACAATATCCTGTGTAGATAATTAGTGTTTTTTATCATAATTTTTATAGTTGTCACAATAATATCACAAAATAAATCCATATCGTCCAATCTTATCAGTTCCGTTTTGAAAGTTTTCTTTTATTCCTGTCATGCGTGTTCAGTCTGTCTGGATATGGAGATTATTTTAGAGGCTCTCTGCAGGATTGCACTTCCTTTTGACCATCCAAGAATTTAGATTTCTTGTATTTTGATTGGTTAAGAGACCACCGAGGGAGGGTCTTGTCCATGTAAGAACCGCCACTAGCAAGATTTCAAGGCAAACGAACACCGTTGAGTTTCACTTTAGGTGTAAATGAACATCCAGCAAAAGTTTACAGGAAAATAAACCACGCTGCTTCAGAAATCCGAGTCATCTGAAAATTCCCCCTGCTGCGTCCAGTGCAGCCCCTTCCTCCTCTTCTTCTTCTTCCTCTCGCCCATAAGCATAGCGGCCAGCACGGTTATCACCACGGTGATGGTGATGATGAGCACGGTGACCGTCTCAGCAATGCACAGCTCAGTGTCCACCTCCATCAGCCGGTGGTTGTGCAGGACGGCCGGCTCCCTGCAAGTCAGGTTGTAGTAGTCGTCCAGGAAGATCCTCTGGATGCTGCGCAGCTTCCTGAAAACCCTCTGCAGCTCGCAGTCGCAGTTCCAGGGGTTTCCCCGCAGCAGGATGTGGGTGCTGTAGGTTTGGATGCTCAGGAAGGTCTTGAAGCAGATGGTGGACAGCTGGTTATCGGCCAGGTTCAGTAAGGTCATGCTGGTGAGCGGGTTGAACACCAATAATTCCATCTCATGGATCTGGTTGCCGGCGAGGTTGAGGACCTCCAGGGAGCGCAGCATGGAGAAGGTGCCGCTCCGCAGAGACGTCAGCTGGTTGTCCTGCAGGTGGAGCTGACGCAGGCTGCTCATGGAGGAGAACGATCTCACCTCCATGCTCTGGATGCTGTTGTTGGTCAGGTTTAACCTCTGCAAGCCGTCCAGGTGGAGGAAACTCCGACTATCCAGGCCAGTCAGCTGGTTGTGGGACAACTGTAGCTCCCGCAGGAAGGCCAGGCCGACGGAGAATCCCTCGGTGAGAACGGAGATCCGGTTCCAGCTCAGGTCCAGCTTCTGCAGGAACTCCAGCTGGGCGAAGCCGCTGTCCTCCACCAGACTGATGTTGTTGTTCTGCAGCAGAAGAACCCTCAGCTTGCGGTTGCTGCTGAAGACGTGTTTGGGGACAACGGAGATGAGGTTGTTGGACAGGTCCAGGAGTTCGGTGGAGGGCGGGACTTTGACGGGAAGCTGGGTGAGGTCGTCATGTGAGCAGGTGGTGAACTTAAGGTCTCCATGGCAAACGCAGCTTCGATCACATGTCCAGTTCAGAAACATGCAGGACGACTCGGCGGCCAGCAGGAGGACAAACAGGAACTCCTTCATGACTCCAGAGAGATCTCTGAAACAACAGACATAAAACTTTAGGACAGAAAACAGATTAAATAAGTAACTTCATCACAACTAAGTCCTGTTGACAATTTAAAATGTTGTGTAGCCGTCCCCTCCTGATGTCTGGATCAAAGTGACTTAATCCAAACAAAGAAATCTTTGCAGTCACAAACAAACTGAGTTTCTGCAGTCAGTGATTCTAAGCAGCATTTTAGATAGAAAGTTTGTCGATTTGCAGATGATACAGTGATTTCTTATGATGATGATCTATCTGTAGACCGAGCAAAAATCTTTCAGAACAATAAAAATTCAATGAAACAGCCAGCGAACTGTGTGGATCTTAATAAAATTGGAGAGAAAATGTGAAAATCAATGTCCATCTGTAATATGAGATGTTATTTCCAACCAGATGATGACGACATGTTTGTTCTTTTACCTCATTAAAATGGAGACAGAGTGAAAACATTCTGTATCGTTTGAGTTTATCTGCAGGAAGCAACAAGTTATTTAACTAGAAAATGATCAACTTCAACCATAATCCATCTCCAGCTTCTCTCTGATTTTACTTAATTATGAGGTAAAAACATTTGAAAGAAGCGTTCAGATGAGTTTCAGAGTTATGACAGAAACCCAACAGAATTATAAAGGAATAAATTGATGATAAAGATTAGAAAAACAAGAAAAATGACTTTCTGAGCTACGATTCTGATTATTTATCTACAGGTTAAAGTTTTCCTAGAAAACTTTAGGGAAGACAAGAAATTGTTTAATTGAGATGCAGATCTTACAGACCTAACAATTCATACCAAGAATTCATCAACAATTAAAGATAAAACATAAAAAAAAAATCCTGATGTGTCTGTTTTCCAGCCTCTGTTCCCCAGAAACAATAAAACAATCCTCGGGTCTTACCAGCAGCTGCTCCCGGTGCGTTTGTCATCATCCGGCCAGCAGCAGGTGGAAACTGGACGTGATGGAGGCGGGGGAGGGCAGCCTGTCACGGCCCGGAGAACCTGACGAGCGACGCGACAATGGCAGAGGATGGAAAAGAGGAGGGAGAGCTCGTCAATTATTCACCAGGCAGGCAGTCAGCCGGCGCTCCAGGCGCGATGTGGGAGGGGTTAGAGAGGAGAGCTTTAAGAGATTGAAGGAAACTGGGACAGGAGCTGAGAATTAAAAGCTCTGGACAGATTCCATTGATTGCGTGTTTATGTCCTGCCTTATTTCTCTTTAACATTATTTAGTTACAGAAAGGTTAGAGAAGTATAGTGATGTTTAAAGAGAGAAAGATCTCACATTTCAATCAACAAAACTTCAAAGATGCAAAAGTGATGGATTTTTTTTTATATAAATTGTCAAGTCTTTGCAGTAACTTTCTCAAAGAGTTTTAAACATCTTATTGAAACTTCTGCAAATTAAACAATTGTTCTGCAGTCTTGATTATGAATGTTTCCACTTGATATGTACATAACACTTTTAAAATAAAAAATATAAGGTAAAATCATTTGTGTCCTGTGGGAGAAATTTGTCTTAGAAGAGAAGACAAGGCTGCAAGACAAAGACAAAACAAAACTTCAAGCAAAGTCAATGACAATAAATCTGTAAAACTAGCACAAATACTGAAATTTTGTGCCACTTAGCATTTGATTTTAGAAAGACAAACTGTAAATATCAGCACACACACAGTTTAAAGTCAGAATGTAAATTTAGAAAAAAAGGGAGCCAAGAACTCATCATTGAGGGACACCAGAACTCGTCTTGTTTTGGAGTGTAATGACTCCAAAACAAAGTCTGGATATTTAATGCAGGAGCTTAAATGGCCACATCAAAGGCCTGATGTGGGTCTAAAATAACCAAACATGGAGTCTTTTCTTCAATCAGCTCCAATGAGCCGCCTTAAGTTCCTTTAAATAATGGCGCCTTTGAAAAAGGAATATAGCTGATGCTTTTCAACATTTAACCAACTAAAGCTCCTGAACAACAAACAAAATGTAGTTTCCATTTGAAGATGAACTTGGATGAACTGAAAATCTTTCCCACAGAGTGAATTACATGTTACATCACGTCTGTTTCAGGACGCGGTCATGATATCCAGACTCCACAGCAGAGTGGATAATACACAGCAATACTGTCAGGACTTTTTCTGACACTCCTGGCTCTGAAGATACCAGGAGATTTGGCCTGCAGCTCCTTAATCCTACAACATTAGAAGCAGTGGCAGAGGTCAGAGGTCACTGCAATAAGTCTGAAAAACATACAGGGACGCATTTTAGTGAGAAGATAAGTGTAAAATTTGAAGGATTTTCAAATAGTGTGAAACCTCTAGAGGTGGATGAGGACGTCCATCACCGATAATCCATAATGGATCAGTTTATCTGTTTACGCCAGAAGATTAAATATATTTTCTGGTGTTTGAGCTCAATGTAACTGCAAATACCTTAAATTTAATTCAGTTTTTTCAACTCACCTGATATGGACTTATGATTCTTATATAGAGTAGAATATTTGTAAATAAATATCCAATTATTATTATTTTTAAATCTGATGGTACCCCCCAAAATTGGAGTCCTGGCCTGTAGTCAGTCTTTACTATACATGTGTGTGTTAATTCAATGGAATTGGACCAAGCCCAGAGCCTGGTGGTACTCCACAGGTAACCCTGGAGTGTGAAGTGACTGGACTGACTGGTCCCAGTCAAACTCAAGTTCATGTTGGTTCACATCAGGATCTGATCTCCCTCAACGGTCAGTTTGTGACAGAATTAATTAATAAAATGACATTTTAATAGATTTATAATAATAATAATAATAATAATAATAATAATAATAATAAAGCTGTCTCTGCATTTGATGACCCTGACAAACTTTTTTAACATATAGTTTGTCAGAATACAGATTAAAAACTGTGCGGTCCCAGCCATCACCGTTGGGGTTTTGTTTTACCTCCGTTGCTAGGCAACCGGCTCTGGTTGATGTAGAGCAGAACTCCAGCCTGAAGCTCTCCGGGTCGCTCACTCAGACAGCAGACCCACTGTGGAGTTTCCTCTCTCAGGTGTTGGGTGTCTGCAGGGTTCGGTTTCACCGCTGCGTCTGGCTGATGATCCATAAACTTCTGCAGAGGGTTTCCACTCCCCACGCCGTCACTGCTGGTCCAAATCTGTGTTTACAGTCCAGATGTGTCCAGATGTTTACAGGCTGGTGTGTCAGCAGCTGTCAGATCATGAGACAGCAGCAGGATTAAGATAAGATGGAGTTACTGAAGCACATGAAAGCTGCACCAGACTCCATGAAGACACTAATCCCTGCACGGCAGGATTACTTTCCACTTCTGCTGAGATTATCAGAAAACTGGGAAATCCTGCCATGTTCACTGACTGATCGGGTTTATTAGGGTTTAAAACAGCGGATCATCGCTCAGGTTTCAGATCTTAACTGGATTTATCGCCCAGATTCTTAAAGACACGACTTTTTCATCCTGATATTATGCTGCCAAGGTGTTGAAAGTGACGATTTTCTAACAATAATCCCATTAATGGAGCAAAACCATGACACTGGATGGATGATTGGTAGATAAAAGACTGAAAATGTTGCAGATCTGTTGGTCAAAGAATCAAAAAGTATCCTTACTCTTTTATTTTTATTCTAAGGTCAGCCAAATAAAACTTTAGAGCCACAAATGTGACACTAATTTCTGATTAAATGCAGCTTATAATTTTAGATAAATATATAGAATAGGAAATTTGTTGTCATTTTTAAAATATCCACTATTTTATCTATATTTTTAGGTTTGAAAATAAAGATAGAAACACAATTTTGCAAAACAAGATGGATCTTTAGAACAGAAAAAAGCTGAATTTAATCTAATGACAGAAACAGTATTTCAATGGTAATATTATAGAAACAAACTTTAAAACTGTTAAAAAAAGATTTTATATTTTTATTATATTAAAATTTAGAAACAATAGCTTGTTCTTTCTAATATCTAGCCAAAATTATTATTAAGGCATTGTGGATGAGAGCAACATGCAAACAAGATTTTCTTTGCATTCTATTTTCCACCCCCATCATTTTCAGATCTTTCCAGGTTCCTTTGATGGTAAATATGAAGAAAACAAGAGACTAAACAGATATTCAATTAAAATCTGTGAAATGAAAACAACCAGGATCAGGTCGCCATGTTCAAAGGTGTTGAATTCAAACTGCAGTGTGTTCTAGTGACCAGAAGGGGGCGACAGAGGCCGCTAGAAAACAAGAGGAAACTTCTTCAAACCAAGCCAAAATAAGCAAATCTTTTCCAAATGTTTAAGGATGTTTCAGCATCCAGAACAACACAGATTTGTTTCAAGATGAGTTTATCTGATGAGTCAAACCTCATTTACCTCAAAGAGACCAGCAGCTGTCAATCCAACATCTTTCCTCCCAAATCAGCTGCAATCTGCTGACGGACCCGCTGCTGACCAGCAGTGTGTGAAAACTCATACAGTTCGTGTGAAAGTGGGAGGCGGCAGCAGTGATGGCCGTTCACACCCGACCGTGGATCCGTCCTGGCAGCCGAGGCGGAGCGGGGGGGACAGATTGTCCCTGCCGCCGTCAGAGTCCTCAGTCAGGATTGAAACCCGACAGAAAACACACACATCACACACACATCTGGTTTATTATTACTGTAAAGTCCTAAGGATGTAGCCGGTCCGCTCACTGTTTGCCTGAATCAAATAAAGACACGGATATCAGAAAACTAGAATCAGAAACAACATGGCCACTACTCCAAAAACACCTGAGAAAACAGAAAGGAATACATTTCAACCAAGAATATTAAAAGGTGTTTGAATCATTTTAATTTGATTGAAGAAAATAAAAGTACGTAAATAAAAACCTGGAAAATAAGAGTTTCTTGAATAAATTAAAATCAACATAAGAGAACCAAGAAAATAAAAATAAAAAAAACCTTTTAAAATAAATAAATTCAGTCCCAGAAAATAAAGTAATTCAAATGACAATAAAAACTAATAGTTTGGTCCAAGAAAATAAAAGCTTTGGACTAAATAAAACCTCATTATCCATACAGAGGAACCATCATGAACTGGTTCCCAGTAGCTCACACGTTACCAGAGACCCCTCAGTGGGTGTGAACCCACTTATCAGAATAACCATCATCACTCCATCATCTTCATCATCACCAGCTCCACTGGGATCTTCTGGTTTCCTCCCATTTTAACTCACTTCAGATCCGACCATCATCAACCAGCAGGAAGTCTGGACCCAGACTGGAAGGACTGGAAGAAAATGACAGACGAGCAAAAGATTACTGGTTTAATCCCGAAGCCCTGCGAGAGGCTCCTGTGAGTTTGAGTTGATAAGGAAACTGGTTGATGAAGTGCATGTGTGTGTGCATGTGCGTGTGTTGGAGACACACACAGAGTCTCCGGTGGTCTGTGTGTCAGTGTGGATCCATCAGACCAGCAGCAGGAGGTCATGACCTCCAGACCAGCTTCCTCCTCGCTCTTCTCCCTCTTCTTTTCTCCTCAGGTTTGTTATCTAGGTCAAGGTTGTGTTTCTGCTCTCCACTGCAGACGACACACACTCACTCTCCTGAACACACACTCTGTGTTTTCTGCAGCCAAGCATGAGATCAGCCCCTGAGACGCCAGAGCTTTTATGTCAGGCGGAGCTTCTGCAGCTTCCAGGAGAACCTGTGAATAATTCAGCCTCGTCATGTTGAGTCGGCACAACAAACACAGAGCCGCATTACAGCCGCTTGTTTCAGCACCTGTTGGCCCAGCTGCACAAACTGCAACCGGGTCTGATCCAGAGCTGACTGATCATCAACACAGAGGCGTGTGTGTGTGTGTGTGTGTGTGTGTGTGTGTGTGTGTGTGTGTGTGTGTGTGTGTGTGTGTGTGTGAGCAGGCCGTCAGTCAAACATGCGATCCGTGACGCAACCCGAGCGCCTTGCTGAGGCGGCAGGTCCAGCAGCGACGCTCAGTAAAGGTCAGCAGAGGCGAAGGCAGAGCGTCGCAGCTGCACACACTTACTCACACACACACACGCACGCACAGGTCCTCTGCGACCTTTCAGACGCTGCATGTTGAATCCAGCTGCAGCAGTTTTTGTGGAAACACTGAAAGCGGAGCTGATGGATCTCAGATGGAGTTAAGGAGCCGAACGGAGCAGATCAGATCCACCAAACGATGTGAGATTTATGAAAATAAAGTCATAATATTAGCAAAATTAAGATGCTAAATTACATATTAAACAGGTCTCTAAAGCTTAAAGTTTTCAGTTTATCCATAAAATAGCAGACAGCACAGATATCTGCTGGGATCCATCTGAACCGATAGGATTCAGGAGGAATGGTTGCAGCTGAATTCAAGAAAATAGTGAAATGTAACAGGAACATACAAGTTCCTCAAAGGTAACCTGTGAGCTCCAGAATGTAGGAGAAAATATCCTGAAAGTTTCAGAAAGTAACCTTTAAATCTAAGAGAGGTCATCTGTAATTTCACAAAGTAAACTGTGAATTCTGGGAATGAAACCTTAAAATTATTTATGATTCCATTTTGACACAATCTGGGAGTTTATTGTCATCTCATTTTAGTATTCAAGTAAGTCAAATTTAATCTGCAAAGAAAGTGTTGTAAGTAAAAAAAAAAAAAAAGCATGTAAGTTCAGCAAAAATAAACTTTAAGTTCAAGAAAACTAGACAGTAACTTCCAGGAAAGTTACCTCAAAGTCCCAGAACTAAAAGTTGTTGGTTCAGAAATATAACTATAGTTCTGGGAAATATAGAAAAGCAACATGAAAGTTGTAAAAATACATTTGAAGAAATAAAACTTGCATCTTTTGGGAAAAGAACAAAGAGAAACTGGAATCAAAGTAAGTTTTAGAAAGTATGTTTTTATAATCGCTCTTCTCAGCTGAGTCTATAAGCTGTTTTTGACTAAATGACCTTTGACCTTTTATTTTCATTTCCTGATGTTTATAAATGATAACAGAGTTTTAACAGTTATCAGTGCTGTAAAGAGCGTTCATAAACACCGCCTGTTTAACACACTGTTAATAAACTCCTTTATTATCGTTTTTCACAGATATAGAATCAGGTCTGGGATCTTCTGAAGCAGCCTGGATGTTTCTTCCTCACCTTCAGTCGTGTTCCAGGCTTTGTTTCTCTCGTCTGGACGTTTCTGTGTCAGAGCCCCTCAGGCTGCAGGCTTTTAAACAAACACATTACGTGTCGGGGTATTTCTGCACAGACGTGGACATTTTACCGCTAACCTCGACTCCTTGTGTCGTTTCTCCTTAAACTCCACGTTTGCTCCGTGGCAGAGGCCGACAGGAGCCCAAATGAAGCCGCTGTTCATTATTCATCGACCCCTCATGCTGTGCAGCCGGGTGTTTTACCTTGGTGGTTGTTGAGGTGGAGCTAACGCGCTCTGACAGCCCGACGGGAGCAGGCTGGCTGCACACAGGGAGAGGAGCGAGTCCTGCTGTAGAGCCGCAAAACACCAAGAGAAAGAAATGGAGATCAATCCGTGTCCCATCGATCAGAGCTGCAGGGCCAACATTTCAGGAGGAAACTCGCTGGAAGAGAAAAACTTTCCCTATTACATTATTTGATGCTGAAAGAAAAAGAACAGCAGGTTTTAACTGAGCGTCGTCCTGAAAGCAGGTCAGCGCCTGCACAGGAGCAGCAGCGGCCATATTTCCATCAGGCAGAAGGCCCGAGTGGTTAAAGACGCTCGTTAAATATTTCAGATCTTTTCTTTGCAGCAGCAGCGACTCTGAAAGCAGACCGAGGTGTTAAACACTCAGATGAGGTTTATTTGGTTACAGATTCAGCAGCTACAGCACCAACAGGACGAGTTGAAGCGATCATCTCTGTTTCTGCTTCAGCATCAACACCTCGGCGTTTCATCGCCTGTTCCTGTCTGGGAACTCTCTCTTCCTCTCCCTGGGAGGAGGCAGGAACTAAACTGGGACACACAACATCTTCCTTGGATGATTGATCACGTCACAAGCGGGTAAAGTTAACCTGCACAGAACCGCAGGAGAAGACAAACTCTCATGAAACATTCAGGGACGCAGCAGACTGCTTTCCACTCCGAGACCAAGCTATATCTCTGACTAACTCAAATCTTTATCACAAATAATAGTTTACACTTTGATTTTTATTTCTTCTTTTGTTGTAATTAAAACAATATTTTAAGGGAAGTTCATTGAAAGGTTTAAATCTGTGAAAATGTCAAAATTATTCCCTTAAAGCCGTTGCTGTGAAGTGCGTTGTTAACCTTTAACCTCTTGGTTTTTATGGTTTCTGTACTCCAAAGGAACTGAAACCATTTTGGTAGAAATATTTACGGCTCTGAGTCTCTCCCGGCGGCCATGTTGGTCTCTGGTGGACTGCCCTGGGAATCGGTGTGTGTTTGTTTGCTTTCGGCTGTGTGTGCATTCACACATCCGCGGTGCAAAAAGCCGAAGGAAAGAAGGGCACACGTTGTGTTTGCTGAAGCAACAGCAGCTAAAAGCCTCCTCAGGCTGTTGTTGCTGCTGCGCTTCACTTCAGTTTTCAGACTCGGAGGGATTTTTGTTAAACAGACCAGACGTAAACAAAAACAAAAGGTTGCTGGCCATTAAGTTTCATCAATTTAATCCTCACTGTTGGCTTAAAGGCCAGACTTTGAAACAAAGAACCTGATTGTAAGATGGACGGACAGATGGATGATCTTAAGGAAAGCTGTTTTGTGATTTATTCTGGGGTTAATCAGGTCAAAACAAACTGTTTTTCTGGAACCGTCTGAAGTCTTTGCTTCGTCATCGTTTCTGTGCAGACACTATGCTGACTCACTCCTTAAATTTAGGAGCCTCTTTGTGCCTTAAGGATTCTCATTTCACTGTTATCTGAGATAACAGTCGGCAGTGGACTAAAATTAGTGAAAACCAACAAAAATCCAAACAAATACTTCAACAGATTACAGGAAAGTTTTGACTGGAAGGAGAATATGAAGAAAGATTTATTATTTTCTTAATTTCTCACCATGCTTTGCTTCCTTTGCTTCGTTTCTTGCATTGAAACACTTTTTTTCCCAGGGGCGAGTTTCAACTGGGGTTGGGAGCTACGCTGACACCTGGTGGGCAGGTGAGGAAACAGCACATCTTTAAAAAAGCAGCAGTTGTTTGCACAAAGGACACTAATGAGTGTGATTGCACAAAATCCTTTATTTCCAGCATCTCAGAGGACATTTCGACACTCATCTCAGAGAAAAACTGCATTCTTTTTTCTTTTTCACAAAAGTCTGACAAACAACTACGAGCTTTAGTGAAGAAAAGTTGCAAAATAAATGGGCTAACATGGACAAAACGGTGTGAGGAAAGTTTGGTTTAATTAACAGCCGGACAAAGTGGGTTTGAACAACATCAGAAAACACATTTTAACACAGAAAATGCTGCTCTTGTGCCCTTTTTATTGTGAAACACTGAACTAAGCAAGCTTCGGATCACTCTTACACTCTTATGGCACCATTTTTGTTTCAGCTAAAGTGACAAACTCCCCAAAACATAAAACCAGAACACTATAACAATATTTCTACATAATAAAATGATTTTTTTAGTCCCTTCAGTGCTGGGGAGAGTTTGTAAGCACAGTGATCGTAAACACTTTTCCAAACACTTAACACACACATACACAACCATACCGTTTTAGCTTCTTTGAAAACAATGCTTTGCTTTATAATTTGTCTTCATACAGCATTTGATCTCATAAGTGCTCTTAAATAATCCGCTTTATAAGAAAAATTACTAAAGTATAAAAACAATAAAACCAAACGAGGCAGATCAGTAAATACCTTTTGTTGTCGTATTGATTGTCGTCTGCTGGTTACCCTGAAACACCTACTTCCTGTTAGATAAAAACTCTGAGAACATTCAACACCGGATCTACTCCCTGTTCAGTTTCTGACTGAGTTTTGGTTTCTAACTTGGTGCTAAATGCTAAACGCCGACCCGTCTCGGTACAGAAACAGCTTCTGAGTCAGAAAGAAGACGGCTGGGTCACGGCAGCGTGTCTGGTCTGTCACAGTGGGAGGAAGGAAACATGGCAGCAGCTCTTCTAGAGCGTTAGGTTCTTCTCACCTGGTGCTGCTGTCAGTTTTAGGGTCTGAATAGTAGTTTGAACCCAAATAATTACAAGTTGTACCGGTGCAAAGATCTGAAACCAGTAACAAACTGTCCCTGTCCAATGAAAGGAGCGTACAGTGGTGGCAGCAAAGGGAATTGGTCAGGATGCCCAGGAACAACCAGGGCTGCCAAGAACTAGAAACCGCTGGAACACCAAGGTTTTATTCACCAGCGATATTCGGAGTCCATTCTGGCTCCCGAAAGTGATTTTGAACCAGTGTTGCATGTTTGAGGTTCCTGAATGCCAAACCTGGTTCCAGTTGGGTACCGGGTAATACCTGGTTTGTCAGGTATGACGTCACCTGAGGTCCAGTCCAACTGAAGACAAAAGCAAAAAGCACAATTGCAAACAAGGGGCGCAGAGGAAAATAGGGCATTGGTAATCTTGCTGCTACACAATTTTTCAGAGTTGTGTAATGGAAAAAGGGCGTCAGCTCTTGGGTTTCAGAGGAATATGAACCAAATGTGTTCTAGAGTGATAGATCTTTGAAGAAACAAACTACAGAGATGGACTGAAAGGGTGCCAACCAAAACAGAGTTCCTGCTGCCCACATGGAGAAGCAAGAAGCCATTGAGACAAAGGTCTAAGGAAAAAGATTCAACTGTTTGGTCACAATAAGAGGTTTGCTCAGAGGAAGTTGGATTGTATAGGGGAGCCATATAGACTCAAACTTATAAACCACTGAATTCTTTCAGTACTCTTCAAATAAAGACCTGGACGGTACAAGGTTTGGTGTTCTTACTGGTTAATGATCCCAAACACATGTCCAGACTGGTTTAATGCTAATGTTATCCTTCTGGAAATGTCTACCTAAAGCTCTGATCTTAACCAAGTTGAAAATGCCTAAAAGTAGATCCTGTGCCAGAAAACCAAGGCACATCCCAGAAACTTTCAGCATAAAAGGTGCAGATGGTTTGTGTATCTTTCAGACCAGTAAATGTTGGAGTAGATCTGCATATTTAACCGGACATTAAAATCTGATGACAAGAAGCAACTTGGGAGTCAAGTGGTGACCCAGGTGTGAACCGCCTCCTTGTGGCTGTTTGGTACCTTCAGATTCACTTGGATTGGAAACGATAACCAATAGAGACTCTTTATGTACGAGAAGAGGAGCTCTGATGGCGTCTTGGTTCAGGGTTTGGTTCGAGCCTCCAGCTTTAACCGCTGATAAAGTAGCACCAGAATGTAACAGAGAAACATCTTGGTTTTAAACACAGTCAATTTTTTAAAAAAGTACACCCTGTTTTAGTTTTCAGGATATGCTTTTCCAAATTCAAATGTGAGGACATCTCTCCAATGCCGACCAAACTGGGTCATCAACGCAACAGTGAACCCAAAGACTGGTGCTAATCTACAACAGAACAGCTGAAAAAGTAAAGAATCAAGGTGTTAAAATGGCCTAGTTAAAGTCTACACCTCAACCAGTGCTGTGGTAGGACCCTCAAACCTCAATGAACCCAATCAACATACCCTAAAGTTAAAAGCGGGTGTAATTATTTTCTTACCCTGACTGAACAGAACCCGTAGACACGGTCAGTGTTTTAAGTGCTCTCTGTTGTAAATTCAATACTCAGGAAAACAAACAAAGCAAAAAACTTATTTACAGTTAGGTCCTCATGTCTGCCGAGCCTGTGAGTGCAGTTGGGTTTTCTTCCACTCGGCAGGTGTTTGTTTCCAGGACAAGGCATTAACTGGAGCTCCGCCCGCGCCTCCAGTTTGGAAACCAAACAAAAAAAATGCTTTTCGATTTTCTCCAACCAATCCAGTCCTCTCTGACTGCGTCTCTATAGAATATCTAAGTGATCTCATTAGCCTTCTGCTTAAATCTCTTCTTAATTTAACCACTCAACACCACACCTAATGTTCTTCAAAATACTAGATATACTTTCATTTAAGATACTGCAGATTGTTTTAAAATCTCCAACAGGGGTCTCGTTTTCTTCTGATAGACCATAAAGACGCTGCCGTTTATCTCCTGTCCGTGTTTGCACCACGTGACGACATTAAACTCTTGACTAAAGCTTCTTGTTTAGACGATTTAAATGCTCTTTGACTCTGAGCTTTGCAGATTATCTCAGACCGCGCTCATATTAAACTAACATCTGTTTGCATAAGAGGATATTAATCTTAAAAGGTGGAATAGAAGCAGCAGTAATGAGGAGAGAGAACCTCAGACCTTCCCAGCAGTTCCTTTGAGTGGAGGACATCTGAATCAGGATGTCCCCTCACTCAGGAAGTCAGGCTGGACAATCTAGCCTTGCTTCAATGAGCAGGACAGTTTCAGTGAAAGAGGTCTTCTCCTGGACTTTTCTCCTTACTTTAGCAGTTTTATGATGAGATGAAACATCAGAACAACGGTTGTGAAAATGATCTGGTCCAAAGTTCCTGATCGTTCCCTAAAACGCTGAGATCTGTCCCACCTCTGCCCTGCTTTGTCCGGTCAGAGGAAGAATCCAGACTTCTGGGGGTCCTGTAAGTTGGAGGCTTCGTCAGGGCCCGTCACAGCTTCCACTCCATTTCTTCCAGGAATTTGACACGTCCGGATGTACCCTACATTGGCGGCGCTGAGGAGGCAGCCATTCTCCACCTGGAAACAAACCACACATTGCTTCAGATGGTTTAATTTCATTCCTTATCGTCTTCTCAAATGGTCTGCTTCCTTTTTTTGATCATCTGAGTTTGAACAAAGAGCTAAAAACAAAACTGGATGGTCTGAGATGATAATGCACACAATCAGTTACATGAAATTAAAAGATATATCAGATCACACCTGATCTGCAGGATGCCAAGAGATTCTCAAGCCTCTGGAAATTGTCGGACAATTATAGCTCAATCATTGCATTTTAGACGACACCAGAACCATCCAATGTTCTGGTCGAACTGGAGGTGTTCACAGACAGAATCTAAAGAGCTCACCAAACGTTCCTACTTTTTAGTTAAAGTACTTGAAGAATCCTTAACAGTCCGTAATCATAACTTTAACAGAAATGTTGAAGTTTATTCAAGTGAAAGTTTTAAAAACAGCCAAGTAAATTAGCGCTTTAGAATTTATCCATAAAAAGTAATTTAGGGGAAGCTAAATGTTTTCAAAGTTTCAAAGGGCTAGGTGGAAGCAGATGCCTACCGATGCTAAAGGTACCATGGTTTGGTTTAGGAACCTCAGGGTCTCATATTTGCTTTTGGCAGATGATGTTTTGTTGGCATCTCTAGCCTGAGTGTGATAAATCCTGGATCCCACCTTTTGCTGGCTTGATGCCCTGATCCCCACCTTCTCTCTTCTTCAAGATGAAGAGTTCAGGATTTTTGGTCAGGAGTGACATCAGGATAGAGAGGGATGGAAACACAGACTGAGGTTTTGTCTGTAGCAGAGGGGGCCCTGCTCCAGTCTGCTCCAATGAAGAACAAGGCAAAACTCTAGATTCACTGCTTCATTTATCCCAACTCTCCTCTGCTCATCAGATAATGGATGGCATCTTCAACTATAAGGAGATCGCAACATGGAGGCCAGTAGCAATGAGACGGTACAGACCAAGAGCCCAACTAGACAATATGAGACACTCTGGTCTAGTTAAATAAGAGATAACGTATCTCTGTGTACAGACAGTTTGTAGAGACAGTCTCAGCGCTGCAAGCCGTGTCTGTCTGCACGGCTGCCTCCCTCAGCCCCGTCCTGTGTTTGCAGCATTAGGTAATGATGACAGATAAATTGTAGGTCAGCGGCGCTCATGCCTGACTGGCCCCCATGCCAGTATTTTTCTTTCAGCGACAGCCACTGACCCCGAAGAATAACAGAGGAGGCTGAATAGGGCGGGGATGGAGGGATGCCTGCTGGGCTCAGCTGTCTCTGGGGGCCGGCCGCGGCTCTTCCCAGCCTTATTCTATTCATTATTGTACTCACTTTTCTCTCCTGTCCTCACTCATAACTCATTCCATTTTTATCCCGATCTGGCAGTTTGTTTTTTCTGTTCAAACGCTGCTGTCATGCTTGGAAAGACACGACACAGTGAATGGTAACAGGGAGGCCCAGCTGATCCAGGACGGCTCGCAAAACTGGAACATCATGAATGACTTTATATCACACCAGCTTCATGTTTTCCTCTTCTTGTTTGTGGATTTGCAGCTGAGCTAAGTGTGACTGCCTGCTGTAAGGTAAACCACAGGGTTTGGAGCTTTTACCGTTTTAAATCCTTAATATTATAAACTTATATTATAAAATAAGAATGCTCTGGAAGTCTAACTGCTTTCCCTTTTTGATTTGATTTGTGATTTGTGTTTACAATGTATGGATCTTTATAGTCCTTACTAAACTAAAATAAAATCTATGTTTAAATCAGAGTCATTTGAATCTTATTTGTTCAAACTTCACCATGCAGATATGCAGGTTTAAAGCCATTTCAGAGTTCTTGGTTTGGTTTGACCCATGTTAGCGCCTCGGGTCTTTACAGACTCGTTCACTTAGTGTCCACCAGAACCAGAACCAAAGGAAGGTAGAAATAAATGTGTAGGAACATTATATTACATTTAATCAAGACTGAAACCTTCAGTGTTTCCTGCCAGTCGTCCTGTGTATGCATGATGCTGCCCACACACATTTCAGCCAATGAGATGAGAATCCTGCAGGGCAGCACTGGATCCAATCAGCGCAGTCAGATTTGGATAAATCCAGCAGAAGTCAAGATTATTCACCAAGTGCACATACTGTGTTTCCACTGAACAGTCAGTACAAAGCAAACTGGAGTTTCCTCTAAAATGTGAGGCTCCTGAATTTAAACTGACTCAGTGCTGGCCCGGCCCATCTCCTCCTCATCTTATTTACACGACATGTCCACTTGCATCATGGTGGTTTACTCTGAGCTCCGCATCGGCCCCGGGCCTCCAGAGCCGACTCGGAAATCAAATAATCCATTTTCCTGACAGGGAAAGGGAGCAGCGCAGAGCTGCAGGGATGCAGATCCAGCAGCTCTTGGTGTGTTGATGTTCAGTTACATTTCAGAGCAAAAAAGAAGAACCTCAGCTTCATGGGGCAAGAACCATGGAGTACGAAGGATGGAGGGATAAATGGATGGACAAATTTAACCTTTGATTTACCAGAATAAAAACATATTGATATTAAAAACCTCTTTTTCATGGGAGTCCAGATCAAGAGGCAGCAACAAACACAACACAGATTATTACACAGTAAAAAGACAATGTCAAGCTATTAAAAACTGGATGGATGGATGGATGGATGGATGGATGGATGGATGGATGGATGGATGGATGGATGGATGATGGAGTTGGACTCTGACGGCTAACAGGGAGTGAAACATCATGTTAGCATCTTCTCACCTTCCCGTCTGCTGCGGGGCCGAACATGCTGGAGCTCAGGCTGCGCCGCTGCTGCTCCAGATGCGCCGTTCCGTGGGACAAACAGGAAGCTGGGTTCTGTTTCTGCTGACTCAGATGTGCGGGTGTAGCCGCTGTGGTCATCCCACCCTGATGCTGATGAACATCCAGCGTTGCCTCGCCGTTCAGCAGAGTGGTGCATGCATCTAAAGAGTAATCTGGGAGGCTAACGTCCAGGCTTAAGGGGAAAGTCATGTTCTGGTTCTGGTAAGATCCGTTCTGGAAGCTCGTTGAGGCTGTGTTCTCAGTGTTTATCTGCAGTTGCCATGGTGACTCCAGATGTGGGTTTAGATGCTCAGCGTCCAGCTGTGGACCATTAAGTGGGGTCTGAAGATGGTGGTCCACCCAGAGACTGTCAGATAAACCAGCTGGATTCTCGACCACCGCAGGATGCGAGGCAGCCTGGATGTGCTGCTGCATCTGCTGCGACAGCTGGACGATGGGCTGGCTGAAGGTGGGCGGGTCCAAGGGGGCTTCAGGTATCAAACATGGCTGCTGGGGGGCAGAGTCACGGTCTGAAGATGGGACTTCGTTCTCCATCTCACTCTGCAGAGTGTCGTGGACGTAAGTGAGGATCTCGTTATTGGTGAGAAGGTCGGTCAGAGTGGGAACGTGGTTGGGATCCAGCTCTACCTGCATCATCCGCTCATCCAGCAGGAGCAGCTCCAGGTCATCAGCGTTTAGGCCCAGACTCTCCAAAGCACTGAAGAGCTCACTGTTCGAGCAAGTTTCCCCTCCATCTAGTGACAGAGAGTCCAACGTTGACAGAAGAGGGTCAAAGCTGTCTCCGTTGCATGTCCCCATCTCCCGGTTGGAGACAATATTCCAGGTGGTGCTGCTCAACAAGCTATCAGACTCAGCAGGCCTGCTGCTGTGGTACAACGTCCGAGACTCTGCATCTGGCTGGCAGACGTACACAGACTCATCCTGACTCATCAGCACCCCCAGCAGTGAGTTGGGTTTCAGTTCATCCGAGGAACTCTTGTCCACTTTGCCCTTCTTGGACTTGCTGCCTCTGGCTTTGCCGTGGGAGGAGTCAGGGAAGCCGTGCAGCGGGTGGCTGGTCTGGTACAGGAGAGCCTCTCCAGTGGCAAAGGTGAAGGGAAGGTGCATAGATCGCTTCCTCAGGTGTTCTCCTCCTTCTTCCTCCCTGCGGTTGAAGGAACAAACATGTCAGTGAAGGAAAACTCACAATAGAAGCAGCAAAGTCTCAAAGAAGCACTAACGCCAAAGGCCTCTGGGTGGCGATGATGTAGTCCGGCTTCCCGTTCTTGTAGACGAGTCGGGCGTTGGCCTGGACCCACTTCCATCGGTTATCTTTGGTGAGCAGCCTGAAGACGGTCAGCCCGCTCTCACCCGTCTTTATCACTGAAAGCACATCAGGGAACATGTAGAAGCTCATGATGTATACGAGCTATCAAACTTTTAACTTTTGGTAAAAGTTATGAACAAATTCAGTGATTCTTTAATCTGCAATTCGGTTGTTCAGCCAGCTGTGAAGGTGCAGCTGCGTTCGGATGTGTGCGTTTATTCAACCACAAGTAAAGACACAGCAGGGAGCTTCATCAGTTCAAACACTAAGTGCTGCATGCATTACAGTCTCAACCACCAGAAGCTGACAGAGTAATGAGCAGAGCAGAGACTTTACCACAGCCACAATGACAGCTGGGTCAAAGGGGTTAGAGAGGTCAAAGAGGTCAAAGGGGTCCCCAGAAGGTGGAGAACCAGCTCAACCTTCACTGGTGAGTCAGTGGATGCCTTACTGGCACTCAGTTCTTTAAAAAAAACTCTCACCACCTCAGATATTCGATGGCCCAGCGGAGTAGATCATTGATGAGGCCAAAATTTGGTCATAATGGTCATAATGGTATTGAAGGTATTCTAGTATTTTGGTCTAAATTGGGTCATTAACTGAATGAACCGAAGCGACAAAATTCCTTCTGAACCATCAGAGAGTCTGAGGGTGTTTTCACACCTGGTAGTCCGGTAGACTTGGTTCAACTGGGGGTCAAAGTTACAGCATTTGATACATTTTTCAGCAGCTGCAGTTCACTTTCATTCTGCAGTGTGTCAAACAGATCAGTTCACCCTCTCGCCTGTGGAGGCGCTGCACCAAGAACCACTAAAAGAAATGACACAAAATCCTCTGAAGACACTGAACACAGCTTCACAAAATGTGAACTAAAATGGAGTGGCATCAGATTTTAGTGTTTATCTTATGTTTTGGTTGTATTTACCCAGAATGCCCTGCGTTTAGTCCGCTTCCTGCTTTTGAAGTGGTCTCCGGTCTGCTTGGCGTTCACATTTTCACATTATAGTTCACTTCCTCTAATAATCCAACATTTAACATCCACTGACAAGAGGAATCTCATGGCTTTAAACGTGGATGATGAGAGAGCATCAGCCTGGTTTAAAGTAAAGCTGAAAAATGGGGATTATTTGTTAACGGTGATTAGATCTGTGACCTTGTTTTGACTCATGTTCTGGGAGATTACAGGGATAAATACTAAAGATTTCCTTCTGCTCCATGACTCCCACCATGCTGTAATGTTGTCTGTAGGCAGTAAAAACATTTGTCTGGTATAAAAACCAGCAGAAACAAACTTCTTTCATCCCAAGAATTATTGAGCCGCAGCACATCTGAAGAGGAAACTACATCACTGGCAACATTCCCAGTAGTGGGATCTCTGGGATGAATGTTTCGGAACATGTGTACAGGTTTTCTCTGCTTGATTGCATGTATAACAGTGTGCCACCGCCATGCGTTGACTAACCAGGTCATCCGGGACGTCAGTGAAGTGAATTCCAGTCATTTGCACCAGCAACCTTTCATCAAGCGGCAGCAGCTGGGACTTACTTCTAATGTGGTTTTCAGCGCAGTAGAGCATGTCAGCGGCGTGGATGAACTGGTAGCCGGATCCTCGCACTCTCAGCTCAGCCTCAGTGTAACCCAGAACGATTTTCCCTCTAAACGGCCAAGAAACCAGAACACACCGTTATACTCAGAACAACCAGAGGGCAGACCTTCATGTTGCAGCACGACGTACTTTGCGTCGCAGGCCATAGGCGTAAAATCGAGTTTGTGTTTGGTTCTGAAGATCATGTTCTTGGTCCGGATCTCCAGGATGGCGGGAGGCTGCAGCGGTGTTGCCACGGCGAACAGGGCGAGCTGAGGAGGGCTGCTTCCACTCTGCCGACTCTGACCATGGAGGAACTTCAGTCTGCCCTGGATGCTCAGCGGCTGCAAGGAAGTCATTTCATCATATCACTATCTCATCATCATCATCATCATCATCAATAATCCATAAATCCAAATGAGAGCAGAGAAGAACTCCTTCACATCAGATGAGTAAGAGCTGTTTTTTCTCAGCCTGTCAAGCACAATCAGTCATATTTACCTAAACCACTTTATGTAGAGTGAAAATATGCTAGCGGAAATGGTTTTGCTCCATTTATACACAGTGTTAAATCTAAAATCCCAAAGCAAATTGTAAATATTCATTATTACACCACGTTTAAGAAGCAATCTGTGCAAATAAAGTAGAGCAGAAGTCAGCAGAGCAACTAGAAGACTGGAAAGGGTAGCAAACAGATGAAGCCGTTGTCCTGCTCACTAAATCAAGAATAAACCACATTCATTGGTAAGATTAGCTCAACTTCACTATCCACATCTTATTACTGCTAGAGCTTCAGAATCCCACTGAGCCACAGTCACAATAATAAATCAATCTATGAATTAAAATATATGTTTCCATCCTTCTGCAGACTTGATTCCTAAGTTTCTACACTCCTCCAGAGTGTGCAGGAACCGTTGAATGGCCTCAAACTAATTGACCATGGTGGGTATAAGAAGCTGCAGCTGTGGGTTAAGGAATCCAGCTCCGAATAGCAGGAGGGATTACAGAGAAGCTAAAGCTAAAGTCCCTCATTGGGGGCAGGACCACCACGTCTTCGCTCTCAGTACCAGAAGGTCAAGAGCAACTGGCTTCTACCTTCTGACCCCCTGGAGCAGCTGTAGCTCTAACAGAGCAGGTTCCTCTGTTTTCCTTCCTCCCAGAGCAGGTGAAAGGATAAAGCCCTGTCCCCAGGACTCCAAGGTTTCCTTAAGGTGGATTACTGGAACAATAATAATGACTTAAACAATGGCTTCCATTTCTATTCCCACCCATTCAGCTCTGGATGTTTAACTTCTTCTTTCCAACTTACCAGGAAGCCAGAGGAGTTATCCAGCAGGCAGCGGAAGCGGCAGACGAACACTCGCTCCAGGAAGGAGGAGTTTTCCGGTGGAAGCTGGTCAGAGTTGTAGCTCACCAGGCAGGAAGACGTCAGCTCTTCACCTGAGCAGATACAGTTTGGTTAAAAAGTGTTGAAGAAGTGGCAGTTTATGGGAGGACAGGCTGACCTACATCTGCTGCTGCTGTGTGAAGCTAATGCAGAATGACAGCTTTTAAACTCTAGTGTACAGTAAGAGCATCTGAGAGCATGGTGCTGCTGCTGCTGTTGCTGCTGCTGCTGCTGCTGCTGCTGCTGCTGTGACTTCTCAAAGGTCACCTCTCCTCGCCACTTCCTGACCTCACGTCTGACTCCTCTTTAGGTTTTAGTTCAGCCCGTTTGCACAGAAAGCAGAATATTTGTGGGAATGATGGTGAGTGTTTGAGGAAACAGACCTGCCGGATCAGTGGGGGGCTCCAGGCTGACCGGGGGGTTCAAGGCCCAGTGCAGGTTCCTCTTGAACTCCTGCTGGTCTTCAGTGTGGATCAGCTCAAACACACTCTGGTGCATCACATCAGTCTGATGGGAAAACAACACAGCCTTCAGGACAACATATCTCCAGATTTACACTAAAATAGTTCTGATGAGGTTCAAATATCTACATATATTCACTGAAACCCTTAAATCAAAGGTACTGAAGGTTCTTCAACATCTTTCAACTGAGTTCTGATCGGTTAGCATCTGATTTGGGCTCATAATAGTTGGTGGTTTCATAGCGAGGCTTTCAAATGTACAATCAGCAACAACTTTGTCCAAATCCTTTAACTGTACTTTAAATCAGCTGCTAGGGAAGAAGAACAGCAAGTATCTATACCAGACCAGTTCAGACCTCTACCAGACTTCTGTATTAACTGAAGGATTTCTGTTTGACTCATCCCAGATGTTTTTCATTAAGAATCTTACTTCTTCAAACCTAAACATTTACTTCTGTTGCCCTTTAATAATCCCTCTGCTGGTCTTCCAGAAACACAAGGTGTTGAGATGAACTCCACATTCTAACTCCTATATGCTCCACCAGACATTTCAAGACAGGAGAACGTTGGAGTCCGACAGCCTTGAAGTGAAGCCGAAAGAAATCAAGTGTCGCTTATTATTTAGTTCAGATGGCTGAACCGAAGCCAGAAACCTGCTGGGACCGTCCAGAACCAGCATGACCCAGCTTTGGACGTGAGCGGATCCGCCCTCCCGGTGGGGAGGAGTCACGGCCAGGTCAACAGAAGGAATTCTGACAGACAGAAGTGTTGTGTGAAATGCTTCTTAAACATTCCTGTTGGCCATATCTGGACCCTGGATTGGTGTCCGGTTCACTCAGATCAGCACGAAGAACCCAGTGAGATGAACTGGGTTCTTGTTATTCTTCCATCTGAAGGAAGACTAAATGGTTTAGTATAATTTCTCCAAGTCTGAGGTAAAGAATGGATACATACTTTACCTAAGATAATCCCATTATATTAATCTCCACTGTTAAAGCAGATAAAGTGTCTGACAAGCCTTCAGCACATGATCCAATAACTAACTTTAAGCTCCAGTCAGAACGGTGCTCACTCTCTTTAGTCTGGGTTCTTCCTGCTTCAGGTTGGGGTAGTTTGGTCAACAGGAGGAGACGGGCCTCAGGCGGGTGGGTGAAAAACCAGGGGTGAAAGGGGATGATCACACCCGATGCTAAACGTACGACCCGACTGTACGCTCCTATCCAGAGTGTGAACATAAACCACAGCTTCCAGTCCAGGGTTAGGTGCTGGCGCTGGTTGTGATGGTGTGAGACGGGGCGGCGGATCCAGGCTAAATTTGTAAGCATGTTGTCTGAAATAAGATTAGACTGAAGGAAGCAGCACTTTGTTGTGGAGCTAACAGGATTACACCTCAAGGCCCATATGTGCGTTTGGTCCGCTCCTCTGCCCACTCAGGGACATACATTCACTACTGTGGATTTAAAACCAAAGATTTACACACGCTGTATAAAAAGACACAGAACCATAGCATCAGACTGAAGAGACTTTTATCAAATCAGAAATTTATGAACTTCTTAGTATTTGGGAGAATTACCTTTAATGTCTACTTAGGTAAAATGTTTTGGGTTTACTCCTGTTCGTCTTAGTCTGCCTGGATTTTGGCCAGTTCCACTTGACAGATCTGCTAAACCAAAAAGGCCACTCCAAAACACCTCAGACTTTAAACCATGTTGCAACTAATATAATGTCATGCTGAGGAACATTAGAAGACCCTCAACGTCCCAGAACCCAATTTTCTTGGCCAAAATCTTGAGATTTTGCTTTAATATTTCCACATAATGATCTTCATGCTGCCACCTACTGAGATAAGTGCACCAGTCCCTCTTGCAGCAAAATACCCCCACAGCATGGTGTAACCAATTCCATCCTTAAAAGTTCATAACTTTATGAGTGCAAGTCCAATCCAAATCATTAAAATTTTGTCTTTATATTAGAACAAGTTTTTGCTTTTGGATGAAAAAACAACAGTGTCCAGCCATTGAGCCTCATGGCTAAGATAATATGACACTGCCTTGTGAAACATATGGAAATAAATCACTGCCACACCCACACCTCAGCGGTTCAGTACTCAGACTTAGCTCTAAATTATTTTTGGAAAATGTTTATTTTTGTACATTTTCCATATCACATATCTAAAATATTCCCAAGAAAACAAATTGTGAGGATAAAACACCAACACACAATGCTTCTTCACACATCATTGGCTGACCAATTTGATAATCAGCCAATCCCGGAGTGCCATTCGTTTTCCTTGATGCTGATTGGCTGAACCCCCAAGAGTGGATATGAAGATAGTTCTGCAGTAGAACTACTGTAAATGCATATTAAACTACTAAAACAGGCAGTTTTTTGGAGTATTTGGAGATTCCTTCCATTTGTTCTTGAATAAAGAGTGCATCATTATATCACCCGGCTGATAAATCGGCCCAGATTTCCTTCATTTTGGGAGATCAGTGATCAACTGATACTCAGATGTGAAACCAATGTTATCTTCTTCTGCCAAGGTCAGATAATCAGTCACTGTCAGGTCACATCTGCACAACTGTGACCAACAACAGTCGTCCAACTGTTGCCATTTTACAGACTTTGTTGCTATATTTAGCGACTTTTCAGACAAAAAAAAAAAAAACAGTACTAGCGGTTTGACTACCAGAGCCGAAATGTGATGAGTGAATACCTGATGGAAGCCGAGGTAATCCTGGATGGTGTGAGAGCAGAAGAAGATGTTTCCTTCAGACGTGACCACCAACACGAAGCCGTTCAGAGCCTGCAGAGAGAACAGCATCTGCTCCTTCATCATGCAGTGATTCTGTTCAGTGCGGTGTCAGAGTCCAAATTAGGTGAAACACATGAAGGGAAACATGAATCTGGTTCTCTGGATGTGGAATAATCCCATCTTTAGATCAGCTTACTCCAATGTTTTGTTTTCATTGGATGGAAAAGGCATAAGCGTAATCTGTTTGCAACCTCTGCTTCACCCTGAGCTTTTTTGACTCAATCAGACTCCAGTTGGATAAAAAAGCCTTCAGATAAGAGAGAAGAAATGGGCCAGTGGCGGATAAAACAGGATAAAAGACAAAGCAAACTGCAACAGAGGAGATGAGACTTCAACCCCAGGCTGACAGGGAGGAGGAAGCATCGGAGCGGAGGTCAGGTCAGGAGCAGGAGGAGGAGGTCACCGATGGATGACTAACACCTCCATCGCCATCTTCAAGGAGCCTCAGGGTTCAGTGAGGAGGTGATGACACTGAATCCAGATCCGTCTCACTGATGAAGATCATGTTTACAACCATCAGCAGAACCAGCTCCTCATCCGATCCGACACATTTACTCCGCTTCTCATTTCCATCTTTTTTCCAACTCTTGGTTTGAGCATCAGACTCAGGCTGCTGAATAATTCACAGGTTGAGCAAAGAGGGTCAGAAATCTGATTTATATACTTTTATAATAAAATTCACACCTGGCTTCTGGCTTAAAGTCAAATTTTAGTGAAAATTTGTACAATTTGTAGCAATGGAAAAAATAAAACTTCTCCAAAGAGCACCAGTTCTGATCCAATGTGAGAGCAAAAAACAACAAAAATAAACCAAAAAAATATTTTCATTTTCCCAATTTTTCCGCTTTTTCTTCTTGGGAAGATTTCTTGTAACATTATGACTTTTTGTAAAACATAAAATCTTATCCTGGCCCTCACATCTTGTGCTGAATTCAAAGTCCAAATAAATAGATGCCGTAAAATGCAGCTGTAAAGCAAGATGGCCGCCACTGGTTTCACTCAGGAGTGCATTATTAAAAAACAAAATACAAACAGAATTTGTGTTCCTGCCCTGCTGTGCAGAGCCGCCTCTCCTCCATCAGACCAAAACAAGCAGCAAAGCTTCACCAACATGTTGTTGAGACCCTGAGGGTAACAGAGGAACCCACCTGAAGCAGAAGCTCGCCCTCTGATATCCTGCCCTCTGCAGCTCCAGGCGTCGTGCCGCTACCGTCTCCATCGCTGCTCTTGCTGATGCCATTGGGAGGTTGGTGCTTCAACGCCTCTGTGGGAGGAGACAAGAACGAGTTAGAGACACTGCACCAAAGGTTCCTTGGGGTTTTAAGAATCTATAATTAAAACTCACCAAGTAAATAACTAAAATTATACCATGAGCTCTTCAAGGATCTTGTAGAAAAGTAAGACTTTCAGCTGCTTCCATCCACAGCCTCATGTTTTACACTATAATCAAAGTAAACCAAAATCTGCTGGTTCCCTTCCATCAGATCCTTCTTGTTTCACCTGAGCAGCCATATTCCTCCATGATCCTAAATATGTTAGCATCTTATATGCTTCCTGAAAGACCGGCCCACAGTATGATGCTGCCACCACCAAGCTTGCTACCGTGTTGAAAGCTACAGGATTTTGTTTCCCAGAGGTGTATGTCATCCAGTCCAACCGGTGTTTTGCTGTTCTGAAATTGCAAAAATTTCTCCGGTTTATTGATAATTTTCTGCAAAAATGGTCAAAAATGTTGAATTATTGTGATTCTAACTACTACCTGCAGATGGCAGTATTTCTTAATTCACTGTCAACTTATGTATATAAAATCTGTAATCAATACAGCAAGTAAAAAAAACTGACAACTTTAAAGAATAAAAATATTTGTGTCCAACTCATCTGCTGGTAATTTTTCTCATTTTTTTGTTCTAAATTTTGATTTTTATTCCATTTGGTGAAGAAGGAAGTTCGGTTCAGCAACTTTTTCACAGGTTTTCGTGTCATTGGTTCAGAAATAGAAACAAACAAACAAACAAAAAATCATATTTGATTTTGAATTAAGCAAAGTATTACATACAAAGGTTCAGGTTTTGTTCTATTAAGGTTTCTTGACACCAATATCTAATCATAAGACAGTAAAATCTTTAACTTTTCATCGTTTCTAACGCCTAATTGGAAGTGAAAGGTAAAGCTGAATATTCAGAAAAGATGGCATGTTTTAAAAAGACTGAAGTGACTCCTTTGTGCCCTTTGACCTTTAATACACTCTATGCTTTCTAAAGCAGTAGGTTCAGACATTAATAGAAGGGGAAGTCTTTGAGAATCCAGAGGTCAGGGGTCAAGCCTTCTACTGAACCTGATCCAGATTCGCCACAGAGGTTAAAACCTTTGAAGCTGATCTTTTTATTTCCAACAGCAAACATCACCATGGATGCGGCTCAGTCTTGCTACAATAGCAGCATTTCATCTGGACTGTCAATAATTCAGAGCTGGAGGAGGCAGAACGGACTTTTTAACCGCCTGACGTCAGGAACGGAAACTGAGGGGAAGAAAAACCGCCTGAGGCGGGCGATGGCGAATGGGAGGCGACGTGTGTTGGCACAACGGAGAGCGACGAGCATGAAAACAGCCGTTAAAAACGTCATAACAGACGGCGGCGAGCAGAAACACACTAGCCTGGTGAGGACAGAACGTCACTGATGGACAGAACGGAGATCTACGTTCTGCAGCTGAACCTAATTTGAGCGACAGTTCATCAGCAGCTGTTTGAGGGGACGATGACACACACCATGACCTGAATAACCCCCATGCTACGCTACACTACGCTAACGACGCTGCAGACCGGAATGAATTATTCAGAAAAGAAGAGCAACTAAAACGGCTCGCTGTTTCTGTCTCCCTAATTTTTGACGTTTAATGTAATGTTTCTCATATATATACATACAGGACAAACAACATTTAGTTAAAACTCATAAGTACGTTTCTGGTGAGGAGGTGAACAGGTTGTTCAGAGGGTTTGGTTGGTTTGATGTACAGAGAGAAACAGAACCACAATGGCTGGAAACAAATGCACAGTTATACAACCGTACATTTTTGAAAAGCATTAGTAGAGCCTCCTGGACAACTAATGAGAATGCAGCAAGTGGTTCCTGGATGGTAAGTTGGCAACAAAACACTTGTCTTTTCCAGCAGCCATTGTACAGAGCATACAGTGCTAAAACCAGATAAATAAAGATGTTGGGGTTGCTAGGTAATTGGCTGGGCTTGGATGGGGTTGCTTGGATGGGGTTGCTAGGTAACATCGCAGTTTCCAAGGAAAGTGACTCAACAATTAGGAGGTTTTTGAAACAGCTCATTTTCCAGTCACCAAAAACATGAAGTGATTGCCTAAAAACAGCTGGATGGTTGGTTTTTAAGAGCTCAGACTGATTTTAGAAGCAGCAGAAACCCAAAATGAAGTATAAAAATGTACAAAATATGAATTTTACATAACAGATCCTCTTTAACTTTCTGACTGTGACCTCATGAGAAAACTCCTCTGATCTTCCCAGGTTCTTGTCCCAACACTGCAGTTTTTCTGCAGGATGCCGGCAGAGAGCGGACTGTACTTTGTTCACGCTGCGCCCCCCTCCCTTTAAAGCCCCATAAGCCTCCCCTGAGTGGATTATCCCCCCACGTTTCTGTTCTTTCATCTCCTCAGCGCCCGCAGTAATGGGTCCGTCTCCCCAGACCTACATTACTGGTCGGCTCAGCCTTCAGGACAGGGTCGGCTCCTGGCCACGGGCGAGAAGAGGCCGAGTCCTGGTGGGTTTCTCTGTTGTCTGGATGGAAGGAGGTCGAGCAGAGTTCAGCCACTTAGATGGAGATGGAGGCTCTGACCTAATTCTGACATGGAGGGCTGGATGTGTGTTCAATATAAACCCTCTATTAAAATGTTCCCCACATGAAGAGCCGTTCTGGTTGAGAACGTTGGAAGATCCGGTGGTTTTTGGAAGAATTTGGACCTGAAAACATCTAACTAGGTCTGTCAACACTAAGACTTTAACTCATGTGATTAATCTAAAAGGTTTAACCTTTTAGATTGACCTAAAGCCTCTTACAAAGTTTACAGCAGAGTTTACAATTTGACATTTCAAAAATAAATTAGCATAATAAAACACTCATTTTGCTGCTAGATGAAGAACTTTTGGTTTTGATTTATTTAGTAAAACTACACTGAAAAGACTTTTTTGTCTCACGAGTCACATGATCAACAACCAGAAGTTGCCACTGGTGCAAACCATGAAGAAGAAGAAAACAGGAAGTAGCTGCAGGATCATGGTTTTAATGATTTATTATGGGAACAAACTTATTCATGTGATTTTAATTGCATTTCTTATTGCAAAATTGTGGGGGGGGGGTTTCACATGAGATGAACATTGACAAAGTTTTGCACACATTTGTAATGGAAACGCAGCTGCTGTCTAATTCTGTGGTCAATGAGGAATTGTTGACCACAGAACATGTTTGGTTTGAGACAATAAAACATTTTCTTAAAAAATGCATATTAATTTTCAAGCTTAGAAAGTTAATCAACGTATAGAGTGCAATTAATCTGATATAAAAAAAATTAAAACTAGTTTTATCCTGCAGGTGTGTGTCACAATAATCAATAAATCAGTTAATCAGTTAATCAGTCAATCACATGAAAAATTTAAGCAAGCTCAATAATTTCCATTTTAATGATTTATTGTTTTTCTCTTTTCCTTACCAAAATGAAAATAGGTATTCAATTAATTTTATTTGTTGCTTTTGTTGTTTATTTTGGATATTTAAAATGTCTTCTAGTTTCAGTGTTAAATGTTTATTAGAATTTATTAGAGTTTATTGATCTTTGACAACATTAAAATTATATTACTTGGAAAAGGTTTCAAAACAACATTATCGTTTATTGCAATAAACTTATCAAAAATCAGCCTCCTATGTATGTGTGTATGTGTGTGTGTGTGTGTGTGTGTGTGTGTGCGTAGAACCGACTGTTCTTCAAGCTCATGTTAATATCAACACTTTAAGACTCACAGTGGAGCCAAATCTAAGCTAAAGTAGCTAAAAACAGCTAAAAGCAGGTGGAGACTCGGTTCGTTTTCACTGATCAGAATCAAGGCGGTTCGTTTCTGAAACCCGAGCCTCTGTCTCGTCTCGACCAGCTTCGCTCAGTGTGTCTCTGCACGTTCCTCACCTGAGAAGAAGCTCTTGGTGCGCAGGTAGCTGACACTGAGCCTCAGGATGGACAGCTTGTCCAGGCTGGAGATGACCTCCTCTGGGAAGGGCAGCAGGCTGGCCAGCCGGTCCAGTTCTGAGTTCAGCCGGTCGCGGTGCCGCTTCGATGGGTTGGTTTTGGTTCCCTCAGCGGGAACTGGTTTAACTCTGGAGGTCAGGAAATACCAGCATCAGGAAAAAACGAAATCCTGCACACCAACCATTTTGCATGAAGGTCGAAATATGAGGTGACTTCTGATGAATGTTGGTTGGACTGGAGTTTATTTTGGGATTTCAGAGTAAAGAGGCATGGATGCATCAGTAAAAAAAAAGAAAAGAAAAAGCTGTAAAATATCAATCCATCCATTTTCTTACACCCTTGTCCCTTAGTGGGGTCGGAAGGGTTGCTGGTGCCTCTCCAGCTGACGTTCCAGGCAAGAGGCAGGGTCACCCTGGTTGCCAGTCTGTTGCAGGGCAACACAGAGACACACAGGACAAACAACCATGCACACACACACCTAGGGAGAATTTAGACAGACCAATTAACCTGACAGTCATGTTTTTGGACTGTGGGAGGAAACCAGAGTACCCAGAGAAAACCCACACATGCACAGGGAGAACATGCAAACTCCATGCAGAAAGACCAGGGCCAGTAATTGAACCCAGAACCTTCTTGCTGCAAGGCAACAGCTCTACCAACTGTGCAGCCCTCTGTAAAATGATCTGTGATTTAAAAATAGAAAAGACCTCTGACATTATGGTCAGGAACAAAAATCTAAAATATTACAAAAGAAAAATTATCCACAAGAAGCAAAAAATAATCAGCACATGGACGAAAGGATTAGACAAAAAATGAATCCAAACAGAGAAAAACAGCAAAATATCAAGAAGAGACAAAAACATATTATATAATGACAGAGCATTCACAAAATGATAAACAGGTTTAAATAAAGAACAGATATATTTAGTTAGAAAAAAACACAAAATGATCAGAAAAGTCACAAGAGTCTAGAAAATAATCACATAGATGATTGAAGAAATCTCACAACTGTCATATCTAAAGAGGAAAAAATATTTACAAAACCATAATAACACAAATAAATACAAAAAGAGGTAATAAATACCCACATCCAGATTAAAAATCTTAATTTCTGGTACAGGGATCACTAAATAATCAGAATGTACAACAGAAACATTCAGAGTAACGCTGTGGGGCCTCCTGCGCCCCGGGGCTCTAATATCTCTAGATCCGCTCCTGGATAATCTGATAATTAATGACGAGATAATTAACTGTTTGACTGGAGTGGAGCTTCCACTGCGACCCACAGGGGGCGCTGTGCGGCCCCATAAGTCCATTACAGGGCGATAATCCCATGTTTACAAACTGTCTGCCGCTGCTAAACGGGGACGACTTAAAGTGTAACTAATACGTCTTACATGTCCACAATTAGTGACGGGCAGCCTTCCTTCATCTGCGCACTTTTAGAACTCACCCTCTTTGCGCCGGTTTTCTGCGCTTCCTCCCAGCGTACATGTTTGCGTTCATTCAGGATCAGTTCAGAGTCGGCGAAGCGGGATCCGTCCCAGACAATCCGCTGGCGCTGCAGCGACGTTTCTCAGTTTCCACTGCGCTGGTTTCACTCATTCCGCACCGATACCGTCAGAAACAGCGCCAGAAGTCCGACTGCAGCAGCAATTACTGCACAAAACCGGGAGTCCAACCGGAGCCCAGGTGGTTCTCTCTGTTTGCGCGCAGTCAGGAAGGTTTCTGGCTCAGTTTTGTTGGTGTGCGTCAGATCCAGACGGCGCGTTAAAGCATCCCGGAACCGGGTGAACTCATCCCGGTGGAGTTCAGGCTCCTGCCTCCATATGCGCCTCGTCCTCCTCTCCCTCCTCCTCCTCCTCCTCCTCCAGGATCTCTGCTGCTCTGCGGCCGGAGCGCGCTTCCAGTGATCTGATAAGACCACGGGAGCGCGCGCGTGACGTCAGAGTGAAAATTATGTTGAATTGAACTTTGAAAAATGACAGAAATATTCAGTCAGCAGATTTCTGGTTTTAGACCGGAAGTTAAATCACTTTAAAATAAAAGTTTACACAAAGTTTTATTTGATTAAAGTCAGCTGCAACCACGTTCTCTAACAGAACGTTCTCTAACAGTTCCCTGGAGGTAAACTGTATAACATTTTGAAAATCTCCATGAAACGTTTTGCTAAAGTTCTGTTCAGGTTGATCGGCTTTACAGAACCTTTAAGAAGCAAACTTTGGTTCCAAAAGCATTCGGGAGCACTACCGTATTGGGTTTTAGACAATAAAATGAATATTTTCTTATTTAAAAAAAAAAATACTTAAATTGTATTCTATTCTTCTATTATAGAAAAAAATGCAGAAGTGGCAACTTTTTATCGTCAGAATTATCAATTACTAAAATAATAATTGGTTACAGACGTAGATTTTATTGAAAACTAGGAATGCTGTAATAAGGTATAAACTTTGTGGTAAGTACAGATCCGACATAAACACAGGACACTAAAACAGTGTTTAACAACTGTGGTGCTATTTTTATTTGACACCTCAAGACCTCAAGCTGACATTGTCCAACCTTTATTTATGAAAACTATTCTTCTTCTGTAGTTCACAAAATAAAAAATAACTTCCTAAACTACCAGATACCAAAATAATACAAATGTTCCTGCAGTGATGCACGGTGGAGGCAGCTTCAGGACTGATGCAGCTGAAAATAACAGGAAACCATTAAAGGCTGAACTGGGAGCAACACTTATGCCACAACTGCCTTAAAGTGGTTACACTGCCATCTGGTGGACACAGGGTACCATCACACTCAACTGCTTTATGTACATTTTAGATTTTTTTAAAAGAAATAATTAATTTTTAGATAAAGCTGGAGAAATCAGAGCAAACATTGAGCTGGATAAGGAATAATATTCCATTAACTAGTTTGATTAATTAAAAAATAATCAATAAGGTGTGTAAACCTGCAAAATAAAAGTTTAAATCACTGGAGTTGTGTTGATTTTTGGCCTATCCTGTGTACGAGGTGTACTTGAATGCACCATGAAAGCGCAGTGCAACCACAGGTACAATTTGCATATTCAAACCAAATTTTAAAAAAGATTAACAGTAGTTGTGTGGTCCCTCCTGAACAGTCCTAAATGCGCTGAGCAAAGCTCCGAACAGCCGGATCTGGACTGCAGCTCATTTCTGCTCCAGTTTCAAGAGATCCAGATCCGATCCAGTTCCGTTTCGGATCGTTTTGTAATGAAATAAAACCTTGAGACGATCTGCAGTGATCAGATCACCTTTAATATGGTGGAGATTTACAGTCTGACTCAAACACTCAGATACAGATTTAAAGGTCAAATATTGAGACACAACAAAGGAGAGAGAAAAAAAATACACGGGAGCAGGAGGTTATATATGAGCTGTGCAGAAAATGTACAAAATAACAGAGGCGTGGGTCAAATAAAGGCAATACATTATTACGATACAGGATACATGAAATATTACACATATGAATGTATGTACAAACACAGATAGATACTGCATAATGGAGGCTTCCTTAGGTCTGAAGCATATAGGTCAAATATTGAAGACTTTTTATAGTGTAAGAGAGAGTAACAATATATATTTATATCTCTATACATAGAATACTTTGTGAAACAAAGGCACTGACTGAGGATGAAGCGCTTCATGCTGGGTTTGGATTTCTAACTGAATCTGAACAAACGTTCGGCTCCATGAGGAAACGCTCAGGGAGTTTCATCCATTTCCAGAAGCGCTGAATGCTGGACAACTACATTTCCCAGAGTTCCATGTCTGACTTGTGCAAAACATTTAAACCAACAGGAAGCCTGGAGCAGATTGGATAAACCTCGCGGTGAGACCTGAGCGCGCGTTTGTGGTTAAAAATGTTTAAAAAACGGTTTCATTTAAGCCTGGATGTTGACCTGAACGTTCCGGAAAATGTTAATCATGCTACATTCCCTTTGGTATCCTCAGGAGTAAAGCTTCTTAGATGGCTTTGGTTTCAAAAGTTTGGTTCAATTCAAGTCTGTTTCCTCTAAAATCTGATGAAAACGATTTTTTTTTTTCTTATTCTGGAAGAAGCGCTACTAAAGTTGGCTCAGTTTGGGCTGAACTGTTAAAACCATGTCAATTAAAAGGCATCTATGAATGAGATTTTCCATTTATTTTCCTTATTTTATATATACATTAGCTGCCTTACACTGTCTTACTTCTGCATTTTGCTGCTGGACGGGTTGAAGGATATGGAGACACAGAGGAGGATGTGAGCCTTGCTAAAATAAACTTTTATCTTTAAATCTAGTGCAAACAGAGCGCAGCGAGAGTTACCATTTAAAAATTAAGTGCTAAAGTTTTAATTTGTGCCAGGTTAGTTTTATAAAGTGGCTCCAGAAATCTAATCCTAAATGTTTCTGTGCTTTGGCAAATCAAACACCTTAAAGTGAAACAAATCTCAAAGTTTGGCTTTAAACTAATAAAGTAAATGTGGTCGATTTTTAAATATTTTCCCTTTTTTTTAAATCTTTTTTTCTTTTTAAAGCTCCATCAGTTTAAGGCACTGTCTGTATTTTACCCCCCTGACAAGAAAAGAGCAAAACATCAGAAGAAAAAAATAAAATAAACTAAAACGAAAGGAAGAGAAGAGAAAGATCTGGCTCAGAGACGAAGCTTTAAAATATACAAACAAGCAGCTGTTTTCACTGAATCGACTCGACTTCCAGGCTCGTAGTAGGATGATGACGTCACTCTGTTGTGCGTTTATGTTCATGGTTTTTATATTATACCCTGTCTGCTTGCAAAGCAAATCTTCCCCGCTGCGGGACAGTTGAAATGAACTCAATGGAGACGGATTAAAACAGCAACCAAACAACCAACCAGTGACTCGTCGACCCGGCTCGGCGTTCGGGTCGGAGCGGAACATTTGTGCGCTGAACACGACAGCGGGAAAAACACGCGGCTGGTTCAGTGTTCTCGTCGTTTTCTTTTTTTTTTTTTTTAAATGGAGCTAAAATGGGAAACAAATGAGTGTGGAGCTGTGGAGTGCAGTACCACCTTTGGCCTCTAGGCGTCGACTTGGATTAGGAGTCACTCAGGTTTGTAACTGCTGCCCCCTTGTGGTGAACCAAACAGCTCGCATTCTGTCCTGTTATACTTAAATTCACTTCCAACCACCTCAAACTGCCTGTGTGCATCACCAGCGATAAAAAGTGTTTTAAATGAATGTTTTTAATGCTTTATGAACGCTCCACACGTCGTTTTGTTGCTTCTCACCGTTAAATCTGAAGGAAAAATGACTCAAAATATTTCTCTTCCATTTTTATGGGTTAATTTGAAGACTCTTGATACCTATATGAGGAAGTATTACAATAAAATATATGCTGATCATAAAAATTATTTAATAAAAGAGGAAATATTTCTCCAGCTGTGATAAATCGTCCCGATTGTCTTCTTGAGCCAACACCACCAAACCTGAACTTGTCCTTCGCCCGTTCTTCAGTCTAACCCTCGTTAGTCGCTCCAGTCTTTACGGTTTTCCACGGATGAGTCCGAGTTTCAGTCCAAGTTGGAGTCCAGGTGTCCCGGCGGTCCTATTTGTTCTCTGTCAGGCAGGTTTTCCTGTTGGGCAGCGAGGTGAAGGGGAATCCTCCGTTCCCAACGATGGGACGGTTGTCCATCTGAGGAGAAAAAACATATCAACTCAGAGACCTGGAACGATCTGAAGTTTACAAAACTGAGCCATCGGGTCAAGAAACCTGTGGTAAACTTTGTATTTTCCCAATTTAACAGAATCATTTGGGTAATAAAGCCGAGAGATTTAGTCCAGATTTAATCTAGAAAGCTTAGCAGATGTTGACCACCAGGGGGAGCAAAAATACCTTTCTATCTAGAAACTGGTTTTCTAAGTTTCATGGTAGATAAATTTCCATTTATTATGATAAATTCATACAAATGATTTTTAAAAACCTCAAACTGTCCAATTTGTCTCATGTCTTTACTATTTACTATTCTTCTACATGAATGAGCATCAATACATTTCAATTAATTTGAAAATATGTTTAAATGCAGATACTGAGTCCAGTTTATTGATAAAAAAAAAAAAACCCACTACTTTATGTGACTGGTGTCATAAATAAGAATATTAGTGATAGGAATGGTTTTAAGAGCTGAACATTACTGTTATTTTATTTAACTGCTGAAGTTTTACATGTTTTAGTTTTTCTTCTCATTTTAAAAAAACTCAAACATTATTTGCAAAACTAAAAATCTTAAAAGGAAATTTCTTTAGAATTGAACTGAACATCAAATTAATAATTATTAATAATAAATCGTTGTGGCCTAATAACTGTAAAGTCTCTCCAAAGGCCTGATGGGAAAGCGCCACTATAAGCCCTGCCCCCGACTTTGATCAGATGAATTCATGGTGGAACCATAAAAAAATAAATACATAATAAATTAATTTTCAGCATCAGCTGTTAGAGGTTTGAATTTTAACCATTTAATGAAATTTCTGTATAAAATAAATAATTTAATTAATGATTTCATGAATTATTTATTTAATTTTGTCCCTTTTGAGCTTCCATACTTCAGATCAGCGCTGCTACATAAACAGCCAGTATTTTTTTTATTTATCAATTCTCATATTTTCGTGCTTGCTGTCCTAGTCAAAGTATGAAGGAGAAGGAGTCAACCTGTGTGTTTTCACTGAAGTGTAGAAAGTGTTGCCGCATCGTCCGGCCGTTGGACTTGACCTGGTAGGTCAACGCCGCCTCTTTATGCGATGGCAGTGCTGCCGCCACAGCGCCGCCTGCAGGCAGCGCCTGGTAGTAGCAGGCGGCTTTGGCCTGCAAGTGGAAGGAGTCCGGGTCGGTTCTGGCCTGGCCGTGATTGACGCCGTTGGGAAGTAGCGTGGCGGTGGCGGTGGTTCTGAACATGCAGTCCAGCTGGTCGGGGAGCGGGGTGGGCTCGGGGGTTTTGAAGGCGTTCTGAATGGTGGGGTTGGGCTGGAACCCGGACAGCGGCGGCTGGGCGCCAGCGCCACTTGAAATATTCGGGGCATATGGTTCTACAAAGTTCTGGGCTGGGCTGGACTCGCCCCACTGGGAGCCTTTAAAGATAAACACCGGGTTGACGGTTCCACCCGCGTTCTGGTCCGGGTCCGTTAAGTCTGTAGGGCTGCTTTTAAAAACTTGGTGCTGACGACACGAAGGGTTAAAGGTCATGTTTGTGGAGCTGCCCAGCTGAAGTGAAGACGGAACCGGAACCTGCAGGCCGTTGAGCCCAGCAGAGGCCATGGGAGGGAAGTCCAGGTGGCTGAGCTTGGCCGACCCAGAGAGAGGCGGCGGCTGGATCTGGTTCTGGATCTGGTTCTGGATCTGGTTCTGGATCTGGACGGGCCAGCTGAAGTCCTGCTGCCCGGCCGGCTCTGGGTTGTGGTTCTGGATCTTGTCCAGCGGTTCGGGGAAGGCCAGGCCGCCCTCGCTCTGCAGCTGCTCTGCCACGTAGGTCAGGATGTCGCTGCTCAGGATGTCGTTCAGGTCGTCCTTGAACACCTGGTTGCCGGTGGTGAAGTTGATCAGCGAGTTCTCCCAGCTCTGCAGCTCCTCCGGCCCGACGTCCACCGCCTCGATCAGGTCTGCGTCGCCGAACAGCGACTCCAGCGTCTCCACCATGTCCTGGATGGTGGGGTCCATGCGGAGCAGCGGCACGCTGGGCGCCGGCTCCGCCTGCAGCTCTCGGGGGACGCTGACTGTGGCGTGGGTGTCCTGGAACGCCACGTCGCTCAGCGAGCTGATGCCGTTGGGGCTCTCGTGCTTGCAGTAGGCAGCGCGGTCCTGGCTCAGCAGGCAGCCCAGCAGGGAGTTGGAGTTGCTGGGTTCTCCCTCCATCTTCCGGAGCTTGGGCGCGGAGCAGAGGTCCGGGACTTCCAGGCTCAGCGGCAGGTCGTACAGCTGCGCCTCGCCAGTGGCGAAGTTGAAGGGCAGCTGCAGCTGGCGCAGGCGCAGCTGCTCCTCCCCCTCCTCGTTCCTGCAGAGTGACAAAAGCAGCCGGGTCAGGACCAGAGCCACGGAGAAGTCTGAGTCTCCGGTCCGGACCAGAAGGACTCACGTCAACGCTCGCTGCCGCGCCACGATGAACTCTGGCCGCCCGTCCTTATAGACCAGCCGGGCGTTGGACTGGACCCAGACCCAGCGCCGATCTTTGGTCAGCAGTCTGAAGAAGGTGAAGCCGGTTTCTCCGGTTCTAATCACTGCAGACAAGAAACACGATTTAAATCACCAGTATTTAATACAACGGATCAAATTCATCAGGATACATCGACTGACATGTACCAGTTATCAATAAAGTGGATCAATATCTACAAACATTCACCCTTATTAATTGAAATGTATCAATATGCATAAATGATCTGAATGATTCTGGAACATTTAGTAGTTTATAGTTCCATTTACTTCGTAGATGTTTGTCGGCGCAGTACATCATGTCGGCGGCGTGAATGAAGCTGTAGCCTGAACCCTTCATGGAGATCTCCACCTCGTTGTAGCCCAGAACGATCTTCCCTCTGTGGACACAAACACGTCAGCTTCCTGCAGCGGTGGCTCGTCGTCCTGACGGCCGGTCGGCGGTTTAACTCACCTGCCATCGATACCGATGGGCGTGAAGTCCAGCTTGTGTTTGGTCTGGAAGATGAGGGTCTTAGTGCGGATCTCCAGGATGGACGGCTGCTGCAGCGGCGTGGCGATGGCGAACAGAGCCAGCTGAGGAGGAACCAGCGACCCGTTCTCCGATACCCGGTTCTGCCCATGGAGTAACTTCAGCCGGCCACGGAAGTTCAGAGCCTGAGGAGGAAGAGATGCAGCTCAGAGGGACAATCTGCACGGCGGCTTCAGGAAGAACAGGAGCAGCATCTTACTAGGAAACCAGACGAGTTGTCCAGCAGGCAGCGGAAACGACAGCAGAAGTTTCTCTCCAGGAAGGACGAGTTCTCAGGAGGGATGGTCTGGAGGTCGTAGGCCACCACGTTGGTGCTGATGTCAGCGCTGTTCTGCTCACCTGGACGGGCGAGGGAGCAGACAACACAGTCAGGAAGCTTCAAACTAGATTTAGTTCTTAAAAAAACCCTGACGTTTTTCTGCAAAGCATCATGTAAAAACAATAAAACCTATAAAAAAAACAAAAAGAAAGAAGAGAAGCCAAACAGGAAAGTGAGCAACAAGAAGGACTACAGCTAAAGAAGCAAACATCATTTAAAACGAGAAATAAAAAGAAGCAAAACCAAAGTAAACAAAACTGAAGTAACCAAAATATCAGAAAAAAATGTCAAACAAAACCTTCTTCCATAAAAAAAAAGGAAAGAAAGAGATGCAGATAAAGGAAACAAAGTGTTTTTGAAATGCATCTCCAACCCACAGAGAGAAAACTCTGAACCATAACCATGAATCAGAGTGACATTTATGTAAAACAAGCAAATTACAAGCAAAGCAAACATAGAAAAACAAACAAAACAAGGCTGGTTGGAAGAGCAGAGAGAAAACAGACAAAAAGAAAAGCATTTAAACTAAACACAAAACGGATCCGAAGCTGAAGAACAGACAATAGAACAACTGAAAACCAGCAAAGAAAACAACAACAAACCAAAAATAAAGATGAATAATCAGTGCAAAGTCATTCATTAAGTCCTGTGAATGTAAAAGGAAACACTGAACAGCAGAGTGAGGATGAATGGTGCGTGCGTGAGGCGTTCAGGTGCGTATTCCTGTGTCAGACTTACTGGGACTCTCGGAGCTGTCTGCATCGGGGTTGAAGGAGAAGTGAAGCTGGCGTCTGAAGAGCGCGCGGTCGTCTGCGTGGATCAGCTCAAACACGCTCTGATGGACGACGTCCGACTGAATGACAACAACAAATCAGTCAAATGTTTCTGTGAGTCCGGCGCCCCCTGGTGTCTGTGTGCTAAACATCTAAAACACAGAGGTTGGTTCCTGCTTTCATCTCTCCCTCAGCAGATCTCAGATCAGCTCCAGAAGAGCTAATCACTAATCGCTACAGCAGCTGGTTCGCTCCAGCAGCTGCTGCAGACTTCCTGGATCAGCTGGAAACACACACCGTGTTGTGTGTTTGTGTGATCCACGTGTTTCCCCCCCGGGAACAGTTTTTTATCCCCCACCCCCAGCCTCAGATTGCAGACATGTTTAACCCCGGTTCAAACGGATGTGTTTACGAGTCAAGAGTTCAGAGCCGACAAAGAGGTTCAGTTCTCACGCACTCTCATGTGATTCAATGCAAGTGTGTGTCGGAGTGTGTGTGTGTGCGTGTGTCAGTCAGCATGTCGTCCAGCTGAGACTTCATCTGCCACGCAACTAAAAGCAGAGAAAACACCTGTTTTTAGAGTCCTGATGGCAACAAAACAGCCTAAAAGTTGTATAAACTTTAATCTGAGCATTTATTTACCAGAGGAAATAATAATTAATAACATGTGGACTTTGGAACGCTCCACTTGGACTTTAACTGAGCCAAACACTGAGCTTCTCCAGGTGGGTGAAATTAACGGTGAGCATGTGAGAAAGCTTCTCCTGTGAGCTGATGAGCACGGTGGAGGATGTGTGGTGATCAGGGCCGACTGACCGATGTCTTCCTGATGATCTGAGACGTTGCTGTGAGGAACACCGTTCCT